AGCTTGCATGATTTGCCAGGGCAGGGGTAGGCGGAGGGGTAGGGATGTCTTAAGGGGTGGGGAGGCAGAGGGACGATCTTTGCAGAGAGTAGTAGAGGCGTGGCCTTATTACAGAGAACTCTGGGTAGAGATTTGCATGGTAAGCAGACCTACAGTTGTGGCAAGTGAAATCCGACACTTGACATAAGGGACTACACCATGCAGTGTGCAGCCCTGCAGCCCTGCATACACAGCACATGTGTTACATGCAACTGTTATCTGTCTCATGACAGAACTCGTACTCCGAGCATCACAGTCAAGCCCCTACTATGCACATACCCACGCATACCTGCACAGTTTGGAGGTTCTTTTGCATGGGCTTAGCGACAATCATGATTGTGACGGGTCAGTGTGACCGTGCTTTCTGAACTGCCTTGTGCTCAGGGTGTGGTTTGAGTTGACGGACCGCGTCCTCACACGTTCCGATGCTCTGTTCTGTCGGGTAAGCTGCCAATAGTGCCATGCATTATCATACGATCTCTAGTTTTACCACTGTCGTATTGCCGGGTATGCTGGGGGGGGGGGGGGGGGGGGGTATATAGCGGGGGATGGTACTAGTCTTGTACAAAAGATCATTCTATAATCACCCCTATACCATCCAGGAACCTTTTCAGCCTGCCCAAGCAAGCATGCGGGAGACACCTGAATAAAATGCGAGTGGTTGTCATGAGTATGAAGGCTTTTTTCTTCTTCAGCCTTTTGGTTGCACTGGGCTCACAATCGCAATTCTCAAATTCGGCGCTTGTCGTGTTCTGCATTGTTTTATATATATATATTTTTTTTTTAAACTCTTCAACTGCTCTAGCATTGTGAATATAATTATGGTGAAAAAAGGAGGACAACATGTTACGAGTTATGACTAACTGTCCACCAACGTAACCTGATCATGTACAGTCAGCACACCATCCGAGTTAAACGTGAATATAATTACGTCACATATAAGGTGTATACTCAATCTGCGGGCAGAACTGTTTCGTCCGTTGTGGACTCATCAGCTATAATGTGTATAACTACCCAATGATGTAGACAGCAAGCTGTTTTGGCCATAAAGGCCTCATAAGTACAGCTACGAGCTTTTTAAAGCAAGCCGAGCTACCAATGATACTAAATTTCTCTATGTCTCTGATCCTGTACATGTTGACTAGGTGTCCTATCCAACCAACACAGGATCCTGTCCTGCAGGCCGTCCTGCCACTGAGACCTGTTCAAGATGCAGTCCCACTAGTAGCCTTTACTTCAGCCACACGGGGAATACCCCACCGCCTTGCTGTAATGGAGTACCACTGGGTCCTGATCAGCAATGCTGTGGTGGTTCCATACAGCCGGGAACGATAGGCAAAGGTAACCAATCGTCAACTTGTGTGTGGGATTGGTGTTTGTGTGTGTGTGTGAGGGGGGGGGGGGATGTGCGTGTGTGTGTATGTGTGTGTATGTGTGTGTGTGTGTGTGTGTATGTGTGCACAAGGGCGTCAGAAGCGGTACAACTGGTACGGCTCGAGCCGTACCACTTTTGGCTCCAGGTGGTCCACTCGGAACGTCCAAATCCGGTGTAAAAAAATGGGGGTATCGAGTTTGTACATGACCACGCGTGATCGTGAGCCGCGATCCGTCACCGGTGCACTAGTCAGGTCACTGCACCGTCTACAGTAGAGTCGCTCGCCCAAGAACGTTGTTTCCAAGGCGTTAGCCTGGGACGTTCTTATTTTTCATGAAATCTGGCTACGTTCTTAGAAACAATCCGTACTGGATCATATGTATCCCACAAGATGCCAGAAAACCAACACCGCCGTTCTTAGCTTTAGGCTGTTGTGTTCTCAGAATTTTAGGCTGGAAGTTCTTGGGCTCCACGTTCTTCAGCGCGCGACTCTACTGTAACGCGTGACTAGACTGTCGACTACGGAACTTTGTACCTTTGGAGACCCTCTGAGAGGGGTATTTTGAGTGTTTTTGAAAAAAAATCCCGCGGGAAGTTTCCCCCGCACCCCCTCTCACTGTCGAGCCGTACCACTTTCTACCTCCTTCCGACGCCCCTGGTGTGTGTGTGTGTGCATGTCCAAAACTGGCATCCTCGTGTCTCGCAACTATAGTGGGAGAGATGTAAGTATCGGGGTAACTGTACATCTAGCATTGTGTTACCCGTAAAATTCTTCCTTGCCTCATCTCAAGTTTGACAGGGCAAAGGGTAGGTAGGAAGTTGGCTCGTAAGTTGAGCCACGCTTGTGTCAATTTAAAAAGCGCATAGCGCGACTCGAGTGATGAGAGAGAAGACATTAGTACCGCTGTGTGGAACTCTTTGAAACAGGAGGTCACTGACACCTCTTCGTCTACATGTCTGTTGTGGATTACATGGCTGCTGGGCTGTTCTTACATCATCTCACGCTTATTAAAATGCAGCGTCCCATTTGAAAGTACATCCATTCCAGCTTCGGGGGTCCATCAGTTCAAATGACAGTCATGTCCGCATTCCAATACAGTACTTATTCCAATACAGTACTTATTCTGATACCGGCTCCCGGTATCAAGTCCAGCTCAGTGTGGCAGCGAGGAGCTGTGTTGACATGAATGTGCATGTTAATATTCACACGTGTCTGTGTACCAGAAATAGAGTCAGAGGGGAGGAAAGGGTGAGTGAGTGAGTGAGTGGGTGGGTGGGTGGGTGAGTGAGTGAGTGAGTGAGTGAGTGGGTGGATGAGTGAGTGAGTGAGTGAGTGGGTGGGTGAGTGAGTGAGTGAGTGAGTGAGTGGGTAAGCTTGTAACCGCCATTCTCTGCCTTCTTTCTCCGCTACACCCGCAGGCTGGCTGTGCTGTGGAAATCGCACGTCGTTTAACCCGGAGGAGGCCACCTGTTGCCGTGGAAACAAGCAGCTGGGCCGTGCAAACGACGTGTTCTGCTGTGAGCAGAAATCCTTCAGTCCAGCTACCATCCTGACCCGCAGCAGTCAGGTCAGGTGCTGCGGTGATCAAGCCTTCGATCCATCTGATAAAGTGAGTCAGTACAAGTACAATGTAGTAATATTTCGACTTCAAGTAGTAGTATTTCGACTTCAAGTACCGTAAAGTACCGTTGATCCGCCGCCACTCCATGTCGCTTCCCAGCTGATTTTTCGGCAGGGGGCGGGATTTAGATCAAGTCGTTCAAGTGCAGTACGATGTACAGTCAACTTCGCTTATAACGACACTCAGCGGGGCATCAGAAAAGTGTCCTTATTCGCGAAGTGTCGTTATACCCGAAGTCTCATTATATGTATTACAGTTGGATGGGACTTTGCTCTGGGCATGGAAATTCTGTCGTTATTCGCGAATTGTCGTTATATCCGCAGTCGTTATTAGCGAAGTTGACTGTATAGCAAAGCAGAAAATCAGACCTGGAATGCTGGATTGTGCACATTTTCATCCTGCGCTCACACTTTGTGTACAGCAGCACATTCGTCGGTTCAACATCGTATTTCGTTGTATACGCCGACGTCGCTTCACAGGCAGAAATTCGACAGGGGGCAGATCAACGGTACTTTTCGGTAGTAGCATTTCATGAAGTAGTAGTATTTTGACTTTAAGTGGTAGTATTTTGACTTCAAGTAGATACTAAGTAGTATTTTTTTAATTTCAGGTAGTAGTTTTGACTCCAAACGGTATTATTTTGACTTCACCCTCACTTCCTTGTATTGGCTATTTTCATTATGTGCCAAGAAGTGCAGACAGTAAATAAAACAATATATGAAACAAGTGCCCTAACTGTGGGATACTCTGTGCGTTTTGTGTGCGTATAGTGTGCGCATAGTGTGCGTAACCCCATGCATGTTGCCTGCTCCTGCCCCGCTGTGGTGTGCAGCTGTGCTGTGGAGGAGCTCTGCGCAACACCTGGTCGGGAGTGCTGGGCACACAGATGGCATGCTGCCCGTACGACGGCTACCCGTTCAACCCGACGACGCACAACTGCATGCTGTGCCGTGGCTCGCCGAGCCGTGTCATCCAGCCCAAGAGCCTACCACTCACGTGCTGTGGCACGAAGCCGTACAACATGAGCGAGTCGGTGAGTAATCCAGCAGATTAGTTGTCATATTGGTGAAGTGAAATAATAAAAAAATATTTGAAATTTTTTTAGTCCCCTTCGCAGATAGTTCTCATTCCTGGGTGTGTTGTTGTTTGTCGTTTGTTTTTTAATTCGCGGTTCAAACGGTGGTCTTCTGGGATAGGTGGTTGTTTTTTGGGGTTGGCCTTCTGAGACAGGTGGTTGTTTTTCCAGGGTGGTCGGCCTTTTTTTGGGACAGGCTTTACTGCATGCCACAATCTGTAAGACGTGTTATTATAACGATTCGCAAATTTAACGATTGTCCAAAAATTCATAGGTTAACGAGAACATACGATAACGATCTTGCAGTCTTGAGGTATAACCGCACATATCACATATGTGGCATTACAGCCTCAACAGAACTTATCGTAACGAAGAAATGTCACGCGTTAAAACGTTAGATTTGCTTCCTCATTATATTCACATGTCTTGCAGTACATGTGTTATCATTCTACAGTTCTGGTGAAAGGGCAGCTGTACTGTAAATGGAGTATGCTTAAAACTGTCTTGGCAAAAAGCAGCGAAGAACACCTTCTCCTGCTAGTGCCCTTACCCACAGCCCTTATAGAGAAAACTGAGTTTGCCAATGGGGTGCATGGGCGACTTGTTCTTGGGCCTTTTTTCTCAAATTGACCCCGGCTCTAGAATCCGATCTTCATGCAGTCACCATGGTCACGGCCTGTGGCACTTATGTTGTGTAGTGCGGCAGCCTTCTTGTCAAGTTACTGTACAAGCAGAAATTTTCGTCCAGAATTTAATTTCGTCTTTTTCGTCCAAGGAGCGTTTGGACTAAATTAAATGCTGGACGAATGTCGATTTGTCCAGCTTTTCAATACATGTACACTCGTATGATCCATGGGCGAAATTTAAAACCGGACGAACTCCCTTTCTTTGGAGTTGGACGAAATCATTGACCGACGAAATGTTCTGCCTATACAGTATCTGTTGTCTTCCCTAGACTTACATGGCAATAATTACGCCAATCTATCCTCTTTAAGTACCACCAGTGCATGTGGGGGGGGGGGGGGGGGCATCCAACTTTACTATGATTTACCCGTTCATCGAATAAATTGTCTTCCTGTCTGTCTGTCTGTCTGTCTGTTCATGCATATACCCTGCACTCTACCATTGAGTGTATGTGTGTGTATAGACAAAGTGTCTGAGGTCCTGCTGCAAATAGTGCTCAATACCTCAAAAAGGGCAGAGCGTATTACACAAGGCAGAACAACAGAGACCAAACATCTTTCTCGTTACTCCGAGTAGCGTGTTCAAACACAGTCATCAGACGATTGTGTGTGTGTGTGTGTGTGTGTGTGTGTGTCTGTGTGTGTGTGTGTGTGTGTGTGTGTGTGTGTGTGTGTGTGTGTGTCTGTGTGTCTGTGTGTGTGTGTGTGTGTGTGTGTGTCTGTGTGTGTGTGTGTGTATGTGTGTATGTGTGTATGTGTGTGTATGTGTGTATGTGTGTGTATGTGTATGTGTGTGTGTATGTTTGTGTGTGTGTGTGTGTGTGTGTGTGTGTGTGTGTGTGTGTGTATGTGTATGTGTGTGTGTATGTTTGTGTGTATGTGTGTATGTGTGTGTGTGTGTGTATGTGTGTATGTGTGTACTAGGTGTGTTGTGACTTCAGTAGAGAAGTGCTACTGCCTGCAGTGTACACAAGATCCGGATGCTGTGGAGGACAGGTATGACTCATAATTATTGTTATCTTGATTACCTCCTTCCCCACCACACATGGTCGGTTATCTCCCCCCCCCCCCCCCCTGACCCCCCTCCCCCCCCCCGGCCCCACCTCTCTACCTCTACCCTCCCTCTACCTCTACCCCCTGAGAGCCTCCCTCTCCCACCCCTCTCTCTTATTATTATTATTATGAACAGTTTCGCGTACTTGAGGACCAGCCTCTTTCCGCCTCTGTGTTCCTGAGCAATAGAAGGAGAGAGACAAAACTATACTATTATGATGATGACAAGGGAAGACATGGACTGCAAGGTACGGTTTACAAATCGACAATAAGCAAATAGCACTGAGAAGGATGGGCAACTTCTGTTTCGTCAGTGTTCACTGTGCGTTTTTTACGAAGGCCTTCCACACTTGCCTGTCGGATGCCTTCTGCCGGAGGCTCTGCAGATGCGGGCTCCTCTTGAGTGGCGTTTGTCTGTGGACGCAGTCTTGCTGGATCTGGGTGACTAAAGTAGTCAGAGGTCTTCCTGGTTTGGCTGTGTTCGGTGGATTGAAGTAGAGTGCCATGGCTTGTTGCGGTGGTGTGTCTTCGGGTAGGCGTAGGACATGTCCCAGCATGGTCATTCTTCGTCTGTGGACTTCCTCGGAGATGGGCTGGCTCTGACATCTCCGGTATAACTCGATGTTTGTGATACGATTGGGGTAATGTATGCCCAGTAGCGAGCGAAGCTGTTGCCTGTGGAACACGTCCAGCTTGTCACTGACTGCCTTTGTTGATCCCCACGTACAGCAATTGTACAATAGGGTCGGCAGAACATATGCATTGTAGAGGCGAACTCTGCGAGCTTCTGAGACATGCTCCCTCCGCAGCCACAGAGTGTACATGTTCTTGAAGGCAATCGTTGCCCGCTGCTTTCGCCTTTGGATGTCTTCGTTAGTTGCCATGAGTGATCCCAGCTGCTTTACTGTTTTCCAATTTTCTGTTGTTGACGATATTGTGACCCATTCCGTCTTCTGGGTGTTTACGTACAGCGACCAGGATTCAAGGACCTTCGCAATGATCGGCAGTGCAGCTCGTAACCAATCTAGACTTGTGCTGTAGTAGTTGACATCGTCAGCATACCTGCTCTCATGGGGTAGTAGTCTATCGCTTTCTGGACGGGGTGGCAGATGGGACAGGACATCCCTCAGGGCCGCTTCGAGATAACAGGTGAACAGGACTGGGCTTAGGCCATCGCCCTGTGGTGTTCCAACTGTGTTACTGAACGACTCTGAGGTCGCCTGTCCAACACGGACCACGAGGGTAGTTCTCTCCAGGAGCAGTCGCAAGAGTTTGCGTTCGTCTGGGCCAACTACTCCATCCATCACTTCCAATAGCCGCTGCCTGTTGATAGTGTCAAAAGCACGGCTCATGTCGATTCCCAGCATGTGGTAGGTGAATGGATGCCTCTGTGTCTTAGCACTCATCCAACGCTGTGTCCATACGACGTCTGCCGTGCTCCTGCCTCTTCTGAAACCTGATTGTATCGCGCCAAGGTGTCCATCGACGGCTGGGGCTATTCTTTTGAGTACAACCAGAGATAGAGCCTTTCTGATGGTATTGAGGAGAACAACTGGTCCCCTCTCTCTTAGTGAGAATAAATCAGCATCATTTGAGTCTCAATTGGATTCACTATCACGTGGTTCCTCAGAGCTCAATTCGCAGGCTCATGGAAGTCAGGAAGATTTGTTTCCGAAGAGAACGTACAGTTGTGTCCAAAGAAATCCAATCCGTGAGTCAAAGCAGCACTGCATACCCGTTTCAACTACATCATGCACGTTCTCATAAAAGCCGATCCAAGGGCCGCAGGGGCCGCATGATCCTTGGCGCTACTTTCGGCACATTTTGTCGGATTTCTTTGGTCAGGGCTGTTCTATACCAGGTTGAAACTGGAATGGCAACAATCTTCAAGTCCCCAATTGCTGTTCCTTTGCCACGAATGCATGCTTGCTCGCATGTGTGTTTAAGTAGACGTACATTACTGTCTGCTGCCGAAGAACTGAGTGCTGAAGAATGGAGTGCCGAAGAACGGAGTGCCGAAGGCCGAAGAATGAGCAGGCTAGGATTTCACCAAGCACAGCATACCAACGTATCCTCGGTGACTCAACTGTGCAAAGACTGTACAGTAGTACATGCACATGAAAATTAGAACGGCCTACAAAAGGCTTCGGGAGGCTGACCCCCATTTTTTTGTGTCGCCCTACAGTGCTGTATGGTTAATGACATGTTCTTGTTCGTGTACACCTGTTTGCGCATGCACATCTGTTGCTGTTGGCAGGTATACGACCGCGACAGTGGCCTGTGCTGCCTTGGGCAAGTATCACGTGCTCAGCCGGGAGAGCGAGTAACGGCCAACTGGCGCTGCTGCGAGACGCAGGCGTTCGACCCCGCCACACACGAGTGCCTGGAGTGCTCCGGGTTCCGGCGACTGGTTCCCCTCAGCGACGCGTACAGCTGCTGCGGAATCTCGCCGTTCAGCCGCCTCTCCTCGCTATGCTGCAATGGCCAGGTGCTGGCGCTGAACCAGACCTTCCGCAGCACTCAGGAGCTACCGCAGTTTGCATGCTGCGGCAATAGAGCGTTTGACCCGGCCACACAGACTTGCTGCTCGCGTAAGTTGTGCCAGCGACCCGGTGCCATTTTTGACGCAGTGTTAGGTTTGACCCCCAGTGCCAGATTTTACCGTTTGACCCAGTGTCATGCTTGACCCAGTATCAGAGTTGACCCAGTGTCAGGGTGGACATAGTGTCATGCTTGACCCAGTGCCAGGGTTTGACCCCCAGTGCTAGGGTTTGACCCCCAGTGCCAGGGTTGACCCAGTGTCATGCTTGACCCAGTGCCAGGGTTTGACCCCCAGTGCAAGGGTTCCCCAGTGCCAGGGTTGACCCAGTGCCAGGATTGGCCCAGTGCCAGGGTTTGACCCCCAGTGCCAGGGTTGACCCCCATAACCATGGGTGACCCACTGCCATGGTTGCCCTCCAGTGCCATGCTTGAAATCTCTTTAAAAAGGAGAAAGAAAGAAGCATCCAGCGACAGCGAAGAGCCCAAAAGAAAACTGAAGGCGAGTGCCCCTGGCCAATTGTGCCATGGCATACTGAGATCAGTTTTCTGAAGACAGGAACAGGTGGGCACCGAGGTTGGGTGAAGGGAAAACATGTCCTTTGTCGCTGGTTAAAGTAACTCTTTAAATACAGTCATTGATCACTGGGCCAGATTTCAATTGCATCCATGATCTCATAGTTTACTGTCAAGTTCGTTCAGTTCTAGTGGTCAGCATGCCTCACGGTATGGATCAGGGGCGTAGCAGCCGGTCCGGCTGGTCCGGCTGTGGCCGGACCACTTTTCTAGCAACACAATGCTAAAAGTGTCCAGAATGCAGGATGTTGAACCCTAAGTTCAAAAATTTCCCAGGGGAGACCCCCCCCCCACCCGTGCATCCCCTCCAGCCAGACCACCTCCAATGTCGGTGCTACGTGCCTGTGATTTCCTATCACAAATCAAAGTTCTGAGAGAAACAGTCATGAACAGCCGGCTGCTCCCAGATGGTTTTCTTGCTATATCTGTCAAATCATGAATTCTTACGCCCTGAGAAGTGCTCAGAGGGGAAAAAATGTACACGTGTCGAGATGTGTCAAACAGGATCCGTGGAACTCAGCGGCGTGCCCTCCCCCCTCCCCCCCCCCCCCGGGTTTATACAACTTCCTATCTCCCTGGACGGTGTGCTATTGAGGTCATTGTAATCGCTCCAAACTGACAAGAACCCTAACAAGAACTTAAACTAATTTTAAAGTTACATTCGGTAGTAAATCGGAAATGAGTATTCTCTGGGTGTGTGTATATCGGCTGGTGGGCTGTTTCGACGATTGGTCTAGGGTATGTTAGTGATGTGTTCCATCAAGAGTACATACCCCCCCCCCCCCCTCCCCCCCCCCCCCCAGAGTGTGCAACGCCTGGTACTCTTGGATCAAAAACAACGGTGCGCTGCCTCGAGACTGGCCTTGCGCTGGTGTGGAGTGTACGCATGACATCAGAAGATCCGATTACGCTCGACCAAGACCCTGTGCAGAGTTGGATCAGGTGTCGCACACTCTGGGGGGAGGTTATGTACTCTTGATTCCATATAATTATACCATCCTACAGTGGTTCTATTCCTATTGAGGTATCTGTAGTGTTTGGTTTTCACTGCAGCTCGGCTCTGAATTTCCTGTGTGTGTGTGTATGTGTGTGTGTGTGTGTGTGTGTGTGTGTGTGTGTGTGTGTGTGTGTGTGTGTATGTGTGCATGTGTGTGTGTATGTGTGTATGTGTGTATGTGTGTATATGTGTGTGTGTATGTGTGTGTGTGTGTGTGTGTGTGTGTGTGTGTGTTGTGTGTGTATGTGTGTGTGTGTGTGTGTGTGTGTGTGTGTGTGTGTGTGTGTGTGTGCGTGCGTGTGCGTGTGGGTGTTGTGTTGTGTGTGTGCGGGTGTGTGTGTGTGTGTGTGTTGTGCGTGTATGTGCACATATGTGTGTACGTATGCCTGCAGTGACCGAATCGGCGGTAGTGAACGCACGTGGCACTAGCTGCTGTGGCACACGCGCCGTGTACAACACGCTCCTGGGAGAACGCTGTATCCAGTGCCAGGGTGGACCACCGCGAGCCATGGAAGCCTCCGATGCCAGAATGTAAGCACTTAGCCTTAGAGCACACGCACATTTTCCGGGGTTTCGGCTGGGTTTTGCAAATTTTGCTCTGGTTTAGTATCAATAGAATTTGGCCTGGTTTAGCATGAATGAATGCGCTGACATGCTAATCCAAAACCCATTAATTTTGTCATCGAACTACGAGTACAATCAGGTTTCTGAGCCTAAACGGCTAAAATCCATCAAGGTGGGATTTGAGAAAGTCCGCACTTCAATGATTTCTGATTTGGCCAAGAATGGTTTTGATAAATCCACACAAAGGCTCATCCAAAACCCATTTCTCATCGAATCGCAATCAGGTTTCCGAACCGAAAATCGGTCTAGATCGGGTTTGAGAAGTTCCCACTTCTATGCGGACTTCAGATTGGACGTGTAGAGCACTTGGGGGTGCACTTTTCAAGCTTGGCCAGTTTATCGTGAAGGTTTGTCATCGTTCACATGTGCTTGTGTACGTATTTGTGAACATGTATGTGCGTGTGTGTGTGTGTGTGTGTGTTCATGTGTGTATGTGTGTGTGTGTGTTCATGTGTGTGTGTGTGTGTATGTGTGTGTGCACGCGCGCATGTGTGTGTGCATGGTCTTTGAACGCTTCCATGTCCATTTGTCCATATGCCCCGCCGTCCACGGCTATAGCTGCTGCGGATCTGAGCTGTACTTACCAGATGAGTCGGCGTGCTGCCTGAATCCGCTGCGTCCCAAGCTATTCGACATCACACGTGAGCGCTCGGCATCGCCTCGTCTGTTCTGCTGCAACGGCACCGCCTTCGACGCCAACATGGAGAAGTGCTGTCCAAACACGAATGCCATCGTGTCGGCCAACTCCTTCTGCTGATCTGCCGCTGCCTGTGCACTTCATACAGTGAAGTGTCAGCTTCTCGCTAATTGACTTGCTGTGCAGTGTCTGGCTGCGAAGTGTCACCCCTCTCTCTCTCTTGTACCACAGCGTGTCTCTCTACAAAGTGTCTCGTTCTCAGAGCCTTTATTCAACTCTAAACTCTAGGATCCATTCGATGATTTCCCTGCGTGTATACAAGTCATGTACATGCTTCAGCATGGTGTTGTGATTTCTATCGGTTTGGTTGGTCGTCTATTCTTGTCTGTGCTGCTGCACTGTGGAGCCGGTGGAGATCGCACACAGTTGGCATTCTGCAAACTGTCTCAGTGCTGTCTGCATCACTCCCCTTTGTCTTCGATCAGCCGCCATGATTGTCTGATGTATGCTATGCGTAATTGGAAGTCTCCCCCCCCCCCCCCCCCAGAGAATCGCAGCTACATGAGCGACAATCATCCTGTATTTACACTCAAGTTTGAGTATTCATGGTACTGTATTTGCAGCCAGCAACCGGCACCACATAATTACTGGAATTTCCACACGCACGCACGCACGCACACAGTTTCTTGCACGTTCATCATCACTACATTTTTGCCAATTCTGTATGCTTTGAGCCTTAAAGGTAATATGTACTAATAACATATTTCCAGCGCTCTGCAGCGCCGGGCAAAGGACGTTGATGCAACGGGGATTTCCCCAGGCTGGATGGACTCAGTACATACCATATTTTCCGGGGGGGGGGGGGGGGGGGGGGGTGGTAGTCGCTCGGGGGTCTAAGCCCCCCCCCCCCTTTCCGGGGCCCAAAATTCATATTTTTCTGACATTTGGAGTACCTGTAAAAGCTGCATGTCAGATTTTGAATTTTTGGCCCTGGGATGATCCAATTATTCCAAACCTGTCTCCACAGCCACTGTCCTTACTGTAAGACGTGTACATGTAAATATAACGAGGAAGTAAGTCTAACGTTTTAACGACTGACACGTCTTAGTTATAATAATAGTTCTGCGCAGCAAGGCTGTATTATAAATGCCTCATATGTGTTATGTGCGGATATGCTCAGCCTGAAGAACGCAAGGTCGTTACTACTGTGTGTATTTTCTTCAATTGTTAATTAACCTACAATGTATGCATTCACGACTCGTTGGCGTTATCATCACATGTCTCCGGCATAGCATTCATTTCGAGTCGTGAAAAGTCCAAATAAACGCAAGCTACAGTACCAGTTCTGCAGTTTTCGCCTAACGAGACCGGCTTATCTTGTAACAGGAATTATGCAAGAAAAGGGTTGGCTCCCCACACCGGAGCTCGCGCTATTCCGCCGACTTTACTTGACACTTGACTGACTCACGACTGCCATCCAGAGCACACGAGAAGTCCATCGAACCTTCGACTCGGCAAACCTGCAAGAAAGCACCACTCCCTGCTCAATACACAGTGTTTCGGGGAATTCACCCCTCATCAGTTGAGCTTGAGTAGGCTGAGGAAGATTGTGCCTGAAGAGCACCACTTATATAGTGCTCTCCAGGCACAACCATCACCAGGGATACAAACTTACAGAGACGCTCCGTTTTCAGCGCGACAAACACCTCGTGAGCACCAGATAGCAGCGTGAGTCAGTGTCGCTCCTGGACGGCCCCTGGGTGAGACAGACGTCGAGTGGTGCTTTCTTGCAGGTTTGCCGAGTCGAAGGTTCGATGGACTTCTCGTGTGCTCTGGATGGCAGTCGTGAGTCAGTCAAGTGTCAAGTAAAGTCGGCGGAATAGCGCGAGCTCCGGTGTGGGGAGCAAACCCTTTTCTTACAAATCATCGCCGAGGTCGCAACCACTACTTCGTAGGAATTATGCAACTAGAGATATTCAAATAAAGTCTCAGAATGAATGAATGAATGAATGAAAATTGATGAAGATGCATTGATTCGCACTTTAACACTTTGAGGCTCCCGCTAAAATTTACCAAAACAAACTTGCTGTGTTTAACGAGATACTCAGATACCGGTAATGCCTACTAAGGCCACCCTTTGTTAATTCATTGTTTAACGTCCTTTTTTTCGCGAAAAGGTACGCGGGAGGGCGGAAAAAAAACAAAAGCCCATTCCAAAAACTGGAAACCCCAATCAAACATTTTGACCAGTGAAGCATGTGATATATACAATATTTCTGGGTCTAACGGCACTTGCAGGCATAGAACAACACTCTTTGATGGTACATTGGAGCACATGCCTGATGAATCCAACAAAACAGGTACATAGCATGGAGTTAGCATGTCATGAATTCATTACATCTGGATTTTTACTAGGGCACACACCGTACGATATTTAAAAGCCAACAAAAAAAGAAAAAGAACACAAGACAAAGGCATGCCCGGGAGGCAAGATTATAAGTTTAGGGTCATGATCGGCACACTGTGAAACTACACAATCATGTATTTACAACTTCGCATATTATTGGTACTACTACTTTCTTGTTTTTTTTTTCGGTCGGAGGCAAAAAGGTACGCGGGCGCGGACGTTAAACAACGAAAAAAGAAAGGGTGGCCTAATGGTACATGTACACCAAAACCTGTCAAGGCGACCACTCGGATAAGGCGACCACCTGTCCAAGAAGACCATTACAACCCGCAGGACCCAGAGATGCTATTTCCAGTCAAATGACCCCGACTAGTGACAGAGAATCAACAGTGATACTTTTAAAACAATTTACATGAGCTGCAGTACTGCCAGTACAGGCAGTAGGCTCTAGGATCTGCCAGAAGGTGGACAATAAAAAAAAAACTTCAACACTCTTCTTCTTCGGACACGAGAATACAGTCATGTACATGTAGCGACAGCGACAGTGTGAACAGAATGAAAAGGAGAAGAAAAAAAAGGAAAAAGCTAGCAGAGGATGGTTTCGATCCATCGACCTCTGGGTTATGGGCCCAGCACGCTTCCGCTGCGCCACTCTGCTTCACCATGAAACTGGACCCTGCGATGTCTTTTTGTCTTGAAGTAGTGACTTTACTCCCTCGCACCCAGACGCTGATTTTTTGGAAACAAGTTTCTATACTTCCGATGGGAGAATCCGACATGGCAGTGCATTTCGGCGTGGCCAGGTCAAATTGTAGAATATCGCATCGAGTGAATTACTTTATCTGAGAGAGGAGATGTTCGTGCCCTTGAGACCCGAAGTCCCGTTTCCATACGACAAAATTTAGGAGCTCTGCGCTCAGCACTTTTCAGGGTATGAATTTCGGGTTGTTCTGGTCGGATCGCAGCGTCGCGGACTATTCCATCGTCTTCAGCGTCGAAAAACTACTGGCCATGTGAGATTACAAGGCGGTGAGACGCTTTCGTCTTCCTCTACGAGCGAATTTGTTCTGCGCCAGCATACCTAAGTATGCAATTTCGTACGCGCAGTTCGAGTGACGAGGCGTGTGCACTGACTGCATGCACGGACTGTGCGGTCGTTCTCGATTCTCCCATCGCTCCCATTCATTTCTGTTTCCAGCAAAAGTCCAACTTGGCGCACTTCAAATCACTATAACTCAAGAATGGCTGGGCCGATTCGAATAATACTTACAGATTTCCTATGTACTACGCCTGGGAGAATCGAATGAGACCAAAATCGAAGCGATCGGAGCAAGTTTTGGAAATTGGGTGTAGTCACCACTTGAAGTCATGCCCTGATGTCACGTGACGTCTAGAATAGATGACATCATTCATTCAGTCATCCGTAGAATGATCATGATTCATGCTGTACGTCTACGTCAAACTCAAACTCAAACTCAAAGCTGGAACACAACAACTGCAACAAGACTGCATGCACTGAGTCTGATGCCGAGTGATGGCTTTCTCAGCTCTTTTTGTTGTCTTGAAATCAGCGTCTGGTCGAAGTAGAGATTCCTTGCACTCCGTGTTGAAGTGGGACATCACGCGTAGATCGTGCTGAACAAGTAGCGTTGCCATCATGGCGGCTTCGGCCTCCTCGCTGATTCAGTTTTGGAAGGACATCAGTCTGCCCCGTTTGCAGGTACGTGAACCAGAGTGAATTTTGTAGTGTTTTGAAATCGCTCAGCAACATCCTCGATGGCCCTGTCATCAGCATCATCATGCACGTGGGTAAATCGAAGTGGCCATTTCACTCGCTTGCTTCACATCCCAGCACGACACCCTGACCCTGACACTGCTTTATCAATTCGCGGAAAATGTTTCTTTTCAACAGGTAACAAGATACAATTGTAATTCGTGCCGCGCACTCAATGGAAGTCTGCAGCAGCAGCAGCAGCAGCACAGAAAGAGCATGTGTGTGTGTGTGTGAGTGCGTGCGCGCGTGTGTTTGTGTGTGCGTTTGTGTGTGTGTGTGTGTGTGTGTGTGTGTGCGTGCGCGCGTGTGTTTGTGTGTGCGTTTGTGTGTGTGTGTGTGTGTGTGTGTGTGTACATGTATGTATGTGGATATACGTGCGCTCGTGTGTGTTGCCGTGTCTGCCCAGCCCCCCACCCCCTGTCACGAACTCCACACTTTACACATACATATTATACAATCATGTACTCTTGAGCATGGTATGGTGCACACATTGAATACAGTACTGTCGGTCAACGAAGAACCACTTGCACCCCCCCTCCCCCTCCCCCCTCTCCCCCCCCCCCTCCCTCTCCCCCCCCTCCCCCATGTGCATGTGCAAACTAGTACAGTTCTCCGGGGTGCAAATAAATGCATACATATGCAGTCAGCCTTGCGAATAACGACCCTCATTCAGTCGTACGGAAAGTGTTGTTGTTCGCAAGGTTGACGGTGCATGTAGTGCGCCGACAAACTCACGTCGTGTCAGTTGAGATTGAGCTGGCTGAGGAATTTTGGGTTGTCGGCAGATCATTTTTTTAATACGTAATAATGAGGGTACGGTAAACCGGGAAATATGCGCGCCGGTTATAGTTCACTGTTTACGACCACATACATGTACCAGTTTGCGCCTGGAAATGTTTACGATCCGAGTCAATTTCATTAGTTTTTTTTTGCTACAGTTCTGCGTTTCGCGCCGGCTTACTTTTGCTGATTTTTGGTTGAACAAGCGGTCACGTGCTCCTGCGTGCCCAAGTCACCTGGTCACAGCGCCAGCAGGCGACAACTTTCACACCAAGGTTCAACTCGAGTTCAACTCGAGTGACAGGACTGCACCCAAAAAAGGTCAAAACAGGCTGTAAGTTGTACCCTGCAGGCACGGTGACCAGGCGACTGGTGTGCGCAGGAGCACGTGACCGCTTGTTCAACCATGTTCGATTGGGAATAAGGGCCAAACCCTGCATCGCAGCCTTTTCGGACCAAAACCAGTCGACTCAGCGTCCAAAAGACTACAACATATGAGCCAATCGCGGTCATCCGTGCTTTTATAAGAACGAAATGGCGCTTTTAGTGACATTTTGCATACAAATCCCAATCTAGTAGGGCGCAGTCACCCAGTTTCGGTGGAAGTGCGCAAGTTCGATTGGGATTAAAGTAGGAAGGGAGCGTCTCGGCTTCCTCGGACCAAGACCATTCGACTCAGCACCCCGAAGACTACAACTGGTGAAATTTTGATTAACTTGATAAATATGGTGGTAAAGACACACCTGGCAATATGGCGGTAAACACACGCCTGCCCACACACGCTCTCTAAGCTGCAAAGTTCTGTCACAGAGCTCTCCTTCTCACCACCACCACCATCAGTTCGCGCCTGGCGCCTAGTCGATGCATGGTTGGCGGTATCCGACATAGCAGGCTGGTACATCAAGTAGCGCATGGCACATAGAAGATGACACAGCAACGATCCTGACCAATGGGCGTATATTTTCTTTTACTTCAGTGTACGGCCCATCCACGTGCTTATAGCAGTGGTTGACTGAAGGGATCCGCCCAGAAATGAAAACTGGCGGATCTGCATCCCATCCCTAGCGTTGAGCCAGCCGTTGTCGAAATCCCACGCGGCTCCTAAAGGAGGTTGACCCATGTTGGGTGTAACTGGCGCGGTCAATCGCGAATCTTGTTGACTGCGGAATCTACGCAGACCAAGAATGGCGGCGGCAGTCACCTCTGTCGCAGTCATACGGCACGGTCCTCGAGGACGTACCGCAGCTGAGAGGTTCCTACCAGCTTGAGGTACAGCAACATTCAGGTCTTCTACTTGCATAAGTTCAATACACGTTGAAACATGACCTGTTAGTGGCAAACTTCTCATGTCAGTTGTAGTGACGTAGGTAGTGAGAAGTGCGTCGGTCCACGCAGCTGCAAGTTCAGGGACCCATCCATAACGTGTAGTTGCAGGAATGGCTGCTACGTTCGGAGGGTCGCCGAGTAACGAGTTGAGGTCGGCGCGTGTGAATTCCCGAATAGGTGCTCTTGGCATATAGCCGACACAATTTCGGTTGATGTGATGGTTCACAGCCGCTAACGCTGAGTTCCAGTGCGGAGTGAAAGGCACAGGAGGATTCAGCTCCTCATACACTCGTTCGAGCGCGATAGTGGCCGTGGGCGTTACGGCGTAGTGAGCCCGGTTTGCTATAGCGATATTTCCAAAATCACGGTTAGCGTTTTGGTTAGTCGAATGAGCAATCGCGGGGACCATGTGCACGCCATTGGGAGTTGTAAATTCACCAATGAGGCCAATTACGGTAGCAACATTGGACGGTATCGGGCGAGCCTGCGCCTCGTACATTGACATAAAATCTTTTATGTCGACGTCCTGAAATGTACCTTTAGATCGTTGAATTGCTGAAAAGCGGTACATTGCCGACCAGAAAATGTTGAGATATGTCACGGATGATGGAATTCGCTTAGCGAACTCATTGCTCGATGCTGTTAGCGAGCGGTGCATAGTCTCAGACACCTCTGATATTGATGATAAGTCGGTACCAAACATATAGTGCGGGTGTGTGGGATTCATCCCGAACACGTCCAGACCGGAAAACAGATCTGGCAATGCGCCTGATGACTCAGGGCTATTGTGTTCTGACGGTCTCGTCGCCTTTGGCATTGTTGCGCTTGATGGCGGAGCGTGTGTTGCTCTAGGACCGTGGGGTTTTCCTCTTCCCTGTTTGGTTGGTTGCTTGGATTGATGTTGTTGGACAATATTTGCCGTTGCTGATGTTGGGGGGGGGGGCTGTGGCGCTTAGAGCTGCTGTAGCTGCCGGGGACTCAAAGCTTCTAGCCCTACCTCTTCCACCTCTATTTCCACGATGAGACATGGTGATAGATTTTCGGAGCGAAGAAACTAGTAATAATTCTTTGAATTGTAATAACCGTAGCTTACGGAAATTTGAAAACCTATTAAAGTCTGTTAAACCTAATAGCCTAGTAGTAGGGCAACGGTGTGCCCACGCGACACTCAGCTGAACCTTTGCTGACCCGGCTGGGAGTTTTGCTGGTGTCAGAGCACTTCCACCAGAACACCTTAGCTCTTGTGTGGAAGAGCCTACACGGTGAGACATCGCAGTCCGTCACAGAACTAATAACTCCACAAATGACCAGAGAAACCCGCCTTCAGCAGCAGGACGGACTCAGTCTTCCAGTTGCAAGAACAAACGCTGGCAAGTCGAGGTACGCCTTCAACGCTACAGGTAAATGGAACAGATTACCTGGAGACGTCCGCTCCAGCACAACGCTGGAGACCTTCAAAGCTGCAGCAGTACCCTACGCAATTGCTTGTTGACTACATGCAACAGTAGCAAATGCCATGTTTGACAATGGATCCGATTTCCAGCTGACTATCATTTCCAGTGCATACACACTTTTTTCTTTCCTTTTTTTCTCCCTCTCTCTCTCTCTCTCTCTCTCTCTCTTTTCTTCCGTCTTAAGATCTCCGCTACCTTGTCATTGGGAAGAAATTCCCGTTTGGATTTTGCGAAGTAAAACAAAGTAAAAAAAAAACAAAAACAAAAAACCACATACAGTGAAACCTGTAATGGCGACCACTCGACCATGGCGACCACTCGACCATGGCGACCACTTTTCCTTGTCACGGACGCATTCACATTCAAAACACCTCGGATATGGCGACCACTCGACCATGGCGACCACTTTTCCTTGTCACGGACGCATTCACATTCAAAACACCTCGGATATGGCGACCACTCGACCATGGCGACCACTTTTCCTTGTCACGGACGCATTCACATTCAAAACACCTCGGATATGGCGACCACTCGACCATGGCGACCACTTTTCCTTGTCACGGACGCATTCACATTCAAAACACCTCGGATATGGCGACCACTCGACCATGGCGACCACTTTTCCTTGTCACGGACGCATTCACATTCAAAACACCTCGGATATGGCGACCACTCGACCATGGCGACCACTTTTCCTTGTCACGGACGCATTCACATTCAAAACACCTCGGATATGGCGACCACTCGACCATGGCGACCACTTTTCCTTGTCACGGACGCATTCACATTCAAAACACCTCGGATATGGCGACCACTCGACCATGGCGACCACTTTTCCTTGTCACGGACGCATTCACATTCAAAACACCTCGGATATGGCGACCACTCGACCATGGCGACCACTTTTCCTTGTCACGGACGCATTCACATTCAAAACACCTCGGATATGGCGACCACTCGACCATGGCGACCACTTTTCCTTGTCACGGACGCATTCACATTCAAAACACCTCGGATATGGCGACCACTCGACCATGGCGACCACTTTTCCTTGTCACGGACGCATTCACATTCAAAACACCTCGGATAAGGCGACCACTCGCTCAACGCGACCGGCGACCACCCACCCGCGACCGCGTTGCACAGTGCTAGTCATGTAAATGTACGCATTGCATGGTGCACCAGGCATGGTAGATCTACACATCAGTGCAGGAAGTGTAGCTGTACATGGTGCATGCACGACATTTGACAGGTCTGAGGACCCCAGGCACATGAGTCGTGCTAGAGTAGCATAGGTGTGTGCACTGTGATGCACTGATCAAAATGATGTATCACATGTGGATATGGTCACGTGACCCACTGAACCTGGATAAGAAGACCACCTGGCCACGGCGACCACTTTTTCTCGTCCCTTGAGGGGTGGCCTTAGACAGGGTTCACTGTAGCTCGATTGCGACGTACGTTTCGTCCCCGCTGGACTCATCAGGCAATCTTCTTCTTGGATGTCTTCATACGGAGCTTGACTCGGGAGAATGAAGTTGAAGACACCACTGTCTGTGTGTCTTTACCACCATATTTATCAACCATAAGTACAGCTGCAGTGTCTTCAACTTCATTCTCCCTTTAGGCTTAACTTCCCCTTTAATACCGTAAAGTACTGTTGATCTGCCCCCCCCCCCCCCCCCACGCCATGTCGCTTCCCAGCTGGGTTTTTGGCAGGGGGCGGGAATTAAGATCAAGGCTGTCAAGTGTAGTACGATATACAACAATGTGGACGATGAGACTCGATGTGCTGGATCGTGCACATTTCCGTCCTGCACTGGCACGTATTGTGTCCAGCAGTGCATGCGTCGGTTCAACATTGTATTTCGTTGTATACGCCAAAGTCACTTTACAGGGGGCGGGTACTTTGCGGTACTACCACTGGTCTCCCGTACAGGTGTTGTAGTTGTCGTTTTCATTAATTTTGTGTTCTTGTTGCCCGTGTTTTCTTTACTGTGGCCATCTATTTTGCCACTGTCGTTGTTGTTGTCGTCGTCGTCATCGTTGTCGTTGTTCAGCATGAGTTGGATACAGCGGCAGCAGAGATTGCCCAGCGTCAAGACAGTGCCGACACGTCGCGCAAGAAGTTGATTGAGCTCAGCCGTGATTACAAGCGCAACACGCCGGAAGATGAGCGCAAACGTGTTTCCGCCCTGCTAAAGAGCTTCCAAGCCGAGGTGAGAACCATTATCTTGAGTACACTCATTGCCCTTGCAAGTACCGCGACGCTCTAGTACTGACCACTTGCCCAAACTCCACTTCCCTGGATTTCAATTGCCCAAACTCCCCTTCCCTAGATTTCAATTGCCCAAACTCCACTTCCCTGGATTTCAATTGCCCAAACTCCCCTTCCCTGGATTTCATTTGCCCAAACTCCACTTCCCTGGATTTCAATTGCCCAAACTCCCCTTCCCTGGATTTCAATTGCCCAAACTCCACTTCCCTGGATTTCAATTGCCCAAACTCCACTTCCCTGGATTTCAATTGCCCAAACTTCACTTCCCTGGATTTCAATTTCCCAAACTCCACTTCCCTGGATTTCAATTGCCCAAACTCCACTTCCCTGGATTTCAATTGCCCAAACTTCACTTCCCTGGATTTCAATTTCCCAAACTCCACTTCCCTGGATTTCAATTGCCCAAACTCCACTTCCCCGGATTTCAATTGCCCAAACTCCACTTCCCTGGATTTCAATTGCCCAAACTCCACTTCCCTGGATTTCAATTGCCCAAACTCCACTTACCTGGATTTCAATTGCCCAAACTCCACTTCCCTGGATTTCAATTGCCCAAACTCCACTTCCCTGGATTTCAATTGCCCAAACTCCACTTCCCTGGATTTCGATTGCCCAAACTCCCCTTTCATGTATATCAATTGCCCGAACTCTCTTTGCCTAAATAGCCTTTGTCCATACTGCCCTTACCCAGACTGCCCTTGCCCGGACTCCCCTGATCTGGAGCTGCTCACCGAGCAGACCGTGTCTGGGTCACATGATGTGCTGTGTGCATGTCACTGCATGACTTCACCACTTCAGCAATGTGTGCTTGTGAACTGTGTTCTGTACAGCAATGTGTGCATGTGTTCCGCGTGTTCTGTGGTAGAATGAGAGAAATGACATTGTCACTATAGACTATAGTATTTCAAGAAAAGTTACTCGTACTCTAGTCCGTCTCTGCTCTGTACTAGAGAATACATGGGTAAGGGGAGGGGAGGGAACGCATGTATCCCCTCCACTAGACAAATAAAAGACGGGAGTGTTATGACAGGGTTTTTAAACGTTCTGCACACTATTAAATTGGGAAAATTGCAAATCGTTAACCTTTCAATCTTTTTTTGAAGAATTTTAGCGTACACATGTAGCAAGAAGGATCCACGAGCGGGATTCGAACCCAGCGCCCCTGTCTTTCCGGGACAGTGCCCTACTGACTAGGCTACCGGGGATCACACACACTCATGGGTCCTTCTCGCTACACTGCTCTCCCGCCCCAACAGACTGTGTCCTCACGCCGTACCTACTCGCGGGGGGTACGATGGGTCGTGGGTTCGAGCCATTGCCAGGCGCCGATGTTGCAAAAGAAGGATCCACGAGCGGGATTCGAACCCAGCACCCCTGTCTTTCTGGGACAGTGCCCTACCGATTAGGCTACCAGGGATCACACACACTCATGGGTCCTTCTTGCTACACTGCTCCCCCGCCCCAACGCTGGGTTCGAATTCCGCTCGTGGATCCTTCTTTTGCAACACCAGTGCTTGGTGGCTGTGGCGATTGGGTAACTATGGTAACGATGGTGGTGGTGGTGCTATAACATGCTGTCAATCCTCTCTCTCTCTCTCTCTCTCTCTCTCTCTCTCTCTCTCTCTCTCTCTCTCTCTCTCTCTCTCTCTCTCTCTCTCTCTCTCTCTCTCTCTCTCTCTCTCTCTCTCTCTCTCTCTCTCTCTCTCTCTCTCTCTCTCTCTCTCTCTCTCTCTCTCTCTCTCTCTCTCTCTCTCTCTCCCCCCCCCCTCTCTCTTTTCTCTCTCTCTGTTACAAGGTTGACACATTGTCACGCCGAGCCAAGGCTGCAGAGGGTTCATTTCTGAACCTGTACAAACGCCTTGCTGATGCTCCCGATCCAGCACCAGCACTGGATCAAGTTTCCACATTGCAGAAGAGACTGACATCCATGCAGGTAATCTTTAGCTGTATGTCTGTGTACTTCATAAGTACAGAGGCAGTAGTTCGTTGTCGGATGATTGGTTCAGCCATGAGACTCTGAGTCACAACGGAATGCGCCCAAGGTTTTCATTGTGTGCCTTTCTGTACTGTATAAGTTCAAATTTCATTTACGAAATCTTTCGTTAGATCACTCCACCAGCAGGATCGTTACGTACTAAATTTCGTTTTTGGTCGAGGTCCGTCGTCCCGAACATTCAGAAAAAAAACTGAAGTTTGGTGCAAACTTTAGTTATTCCGTGCGCCCTAACGAATATAGCGAAAGTTAATTCCAAACGAAGCTTTCTACTTATACAGTATGATTATATGACTTCAAAGATGAAGGATGTACCGTATTATCGGCAATAGAGAGGTTCCGGAGTATGATTTTTCGGGCCAAAATCCGTAGAGGCGCTACGGATTTTTATACGTCGTTTTCAAGCAGTGAAATGTTCCGGAGTACGGAACTTATGTGTTTGCCATCATTGCCTAGGTTACGATCGCAAACACGTCACATTCCCGCGCTATGCCTTTTAACTTTGAAATTTGTACCGAAATCAAAACTTCCCGCGGAAAATCGATGTTTCTCGTACCGAATTTGTACGCGAAAAATCTTTCTGCACCCGATGACGTAAAGTCTCCATACGAAACATGGTTCGTATGAAAGCCAGTCCACACGGATTCTCCGTGCCGAAAAATCGTATGGAGCACGCCTCGAAAAAATCCGTAGAGCCTATACGGATTTTGGCACGGAACATTTCACCCAGTTTGAAAAGCAATCTACACACAACACTTCCTTTGACTTTCCACAGAAAAGCCCTGAAATATTGTGGCGCGGGTTTCAGACAGGCGGTAATAGCAGACCGGCCCTAATTCCAGAAAATACGGTAGTTGTATACCTTACTGTATTATCTCTAATATAAGCACGGTCCTTTGTTTTTTCAATGTACCTCCGCCCCGTGCTATTAATGGAGACGTTCCTTTATTGGAGACTGTTCCATTATTATTTCAACCTCATTTCAGAGGCATGTTGCCATGCCAAATTTATATGTCAGACACACACATTTCAGGGTTATTTCGCCGGTACAGATAATGAATTTACACGGTGTGCTTATAATGGAGCCGGAGACCGAGCACTTTATTTTTTTGAATGCCGCCCAAGGTGTTCTATTATTGGAGATGTGCTATTATTGGAAACTGTGCTTATATTAGAGATAATACGGTATTTGGAAAAGATTTATGTGTGGCAAAGCAGAGTGGCGCAGCGGAAGCGTGCTGGGCCCATAACCCAGAGGTCGATGGATCGAAACCATCCTCTGCTAACGACTTCTTTTTTTCTTCCTCTCCGTCCGCATTCCCTCTCTTTCTGCCTTTCTCTTTCTCTCTTTCCCTGACCCTCTGTTTCTTTCTCTTTTGTGCATTCATGCAGGGATGTTTTTCGGGCCGCTTTGAACTACACTTGTAATACAACGGATTTGCATAATTATGTGTGCATGTGTGTGTGCATGTGTGTGCATGTGTGTGCATGTGTGTGCATGTGTGTGCATGTGTGTGCATGTGTGTGCATGTATGTGCATGTGTGTGCATGTGCATGTGTGTGCATGTGTGTGTATATGTGTCACTTACTGAGGTGTGGTGAGCCCATAAGTGGGATCATTTTCAAGTCCACCCAGAATTTTGGGGATTTCAGGGGGGGGGGGGGGGGGGGTCGTTGGGCGGTTCAATAGCCAATTGAGTCATCATTCCTTTTGAATCTCTCTCCCCTCTCCCGGGGAGACCCACGTGACCAGTTTTGGCAGCGAGCAACAAGTACAAGTATATGTGCATGTGTGTGCATGTGTGTGCATGTGTGTATAATGTGCGCATGTGTGCATGTTGAATTTTGTCAGGACTTGGAGTTGGAGAATAAGAAGTTGCGTGAAACCTTGGATCAGTATAACAAAGAGTATGCTGAAGTTCGAAATCAAGGTAACTATGGTAGCTACTGCACTGCTATGCATGCTGTGTACCCTGGTCTGGGGTAGTATGCTGAAGTTCGAAATCAAGGTAACTACCGCACTGCTATGCATGCTGTGTACCCTGGTCTGGGGTAGTATGCTGAAGTTCGAAATCAAGGTAACTACCGCACTGCTATGCATGCTGTGTACCCTGGTCTGGGGTAGTATGCTGAAGTTCGAAATCAAGGTAACTACCGCACTGCTATGCATGCTGTGTACCCTGGTCTGGGGTAGTATGCTGAAGTTCGAAATCAAGGTAACTACCGCACTGCTATGCATGCTGTGTACCCTGGTCTGGGGTAGTATGCTGAAGTTCGAAATCAAGGTAACTACCGCACTGCTATGCATGCTGTGTACCCTGGTCTGGGGTAGTATGCTGAAGTTCGAAATCAAGGTAACTACCGCACTGCTATGCATGCTGTGTACCCTGGTCTGGGGTAGTATGCTGAAGTTCGAAATCAAGGTAACTACCGCACTGCTATGCATGCTGTGTACCCTGGTCTGGGGTAGTATGCTGAAGTTCGAAATCAAGGTAACTACCGCACTGCTATGCATGCTGTGTACCCTGGTCTGGGGTAGTATGCTGAAGTTCGAAATCAAGGTAACTACCGCACTGCTATGCATGCTGTGTACCCTGGTCTGGGGTAGTATGCTGAAGTTCGAAATCAAGGTAACTACCGCACTGCTATGCATGCTGTGTACCCTGGTCTGGGGTAGTATGCTGAAGTTCGAAATCAAGGTAACTACCGCACTGCTATGCATGCTGTGTACCCTGGTCTGGGGTAGTATGCTGAAGTTCGAAATCAAGGTAACTACCGCACTGCTATGCATGCTGTGTACCCTGGTCTGGGGTAGTATGCTGAAGTTCGAAATCAAGGTAACTACCGCACTGCTATGCATGCTGTGTACCCTGGTCTGGGGTAGTATGCTGAAGTTCGAAATCAAGGTAACTACCGCACTGCTATGCATGCTGTGTACCCTGGTCTGGGGTAGTATGCTGAAGTTCGAAATCAAGGTAACTACCGCACTGCTATGCATGCTGTGTACCCTGGTCTGGGGTAGTATGCTGAAGTTCGAAATCAAGGTAACTACCGCACTGCTATGCATGCTGTGTACCCTGGTCTGGGGTAGTATGCTGAAGTTCGAAATCAAGGTAACTACCGCACTGCTATGCATGCTGTGTACCCTGGTCTGGGGTAGTATGCTGAAGTTCGAAATCAAGGTAACTACCGCACTGCTATGCATGCTGTGTACCCTGGTCTGGGGTAGTATGCTGAAGTTCGAAATCAAGGTAACTACCGCACTGCTATGCATGCTGTGTACCCTGGTCTGGGGTAGTATGCTGAAGTTCGAAATCAAGGTAACTACCGCACTGCTATGCATGCTGTGTACCCTGGTCTGGGGTAGTATGCTGAAGTTCGAAATCAAGGTAACTACCGCACTGCTATGCATGCTGTGTACCCTGGTCTGGGGTAGTATGCTGAAGTTCGAAATCAAGGTAACTACCGCACTGCTATGCATGCTGTGTACCCTGGTCTGGGGTAGTATGCTGAAGTTCGAAATCAAGGTAACTACCGCACTGCTATGCATGCTGTGTACCCTGGTCTGGGGTAGTATGCTGAAGTTCGAAATCAAGGTAACTACCGCACTGCTATGCATGCTGTGTACCCTGGTCTGGGGTAGTATGCTGAAGTTCGAAATCAAGGTAACTACCGCACTGCTATGCATGCTGTGTACCCTGGTCTGGGGTAGTATGCTGAAGTTCGAAATCAAGGTAACTACCGCACTGCTATGCATGCTGTGTACCCTGGTCTGGGGTAGTATGCTGAAGTTCGAAATCAAGGTAACTACCGCACTGCTATGCATGCTGTGTACCCTGGTCTGGGGTAGTATGCTGAAGTTCGAAATCAAGGTAACTACCGCACTGCTATGCATGCTGTGTACCCTGGTCTGGGGTAGTATGCTGAAGTTCGAAATCAAGGTAACTACCGCACTGCTATGCATGCTGTGTACCCTGGTCTGGGGTAGTATGCTGAAGTTCGAAATCAAGGTAACTACCGCACTGCTATGCATGCTGTGTACCCTGGTCTGGGGTAGTATGCTGAAGTTCGAAATCAAGGTAACTACCGCACTGCTATGCATGCTGTGTACCCTGGTCTGGGGTAGTATGCTGAAGTTCGAAATCAAGGTAACTACCGCACTGCTATGCATGCTGTGTACCCTGGTCTGGGGTAGTATGCTGAAGTTCGAAATCAAGGTAACTACCGCACTGCTAACGTTATGCATGCTGTGTACCCTGGTCTGGGGTAGTATGCTGAAGTTCGAAATCAAGGTAACTACCGCACTGCTATGCATGCTGTGTACCCTGGTCTGGGGTAGTATGCTCTCTCATCTACTATTACTACCGTAAAGTACCGCCAGAGCGCCCCACCATCTCGTCCTTTCGTGGTCGTATTGTGGGGGCGGTCTGCTGTCTGTAGGTCATACGACACGTCATACGACACGAACCTTGTACACATATTCCACATTTTGCAGTCAATCCGTACCTTCCAGCAGACACAAGCTCTACACAACACCCTGCCAAGTGTGCCCTTAGTACACTAAGGTTCTCACATCGTACACACTTCGTTGCACTCTGCCATACGATTTTCCTTTCCCTGGCTGTAAAATCAAGGTGGGGCGCTGTCGCGAGACGGGGCGCTCTGGCGGTACTTTACGGTAATAGTGTTCAGTTGACCTAACATCTCAGCATGCATTCTCCCACAACCCTCTCTGCCCTGATCCCCATCCTTTCTGCCCTAATCCCCCATCCTTTCTGCCCTAATTTCCCATCCTTTCTGCTCTAATCCCCCATCCTTTCTGCCCTAATCCCCCATCCTTTCTGCCCTAATCTCCCATCCTTTCTGCCCTAATCCCCATCCTTTCTGCCCTAATCTCCCATCCTTTCTGCCCTAATCCCCCATCCTTTCTGCCCTAATCCCCCATCATTTCTGCCCTAATTTCCCATCCTTTCTGCCCTAATCCCCCATCCTTTCTGCCCTAATCCCCATCCTTTCTGCCCTAATCCCCCATCCTTTCTGCCCTAATCCCCCATCCTTTCTGCCCTAATCCCCCATCCTTTCTGCCCTAATCTCCCATCATTTCTGCCCTAATCCCCCATCCTTTCTGCCCTAATCTCCCATCCTTTCTGCCCTAATCCCCCATCCTTTCTGCCCTAATCTCCCATCCTTTCTGCCCTAATCCCCCATCCTTTCTGCCCTAATCTCCCATCATTTCTGCCCTAATCCCCCATCCTTTCTGCCCTAATCTCCCATCCTTTCTGTCCTAATCCCCCATCCTTTCTGCCCTAATCCCCCATCCTTTCTGCCCTAATCCCCCATCCTTTCTGCCCTTATCTCCCATGCTTTCTGCCCTAATCCCCCATCCTTTCTGCCCTGACCCCCATCCTTTCTGCCCTAATCCCCCATCCTTTCTGCCCTGGTCTAACGCCATCACCTTCCCATATCACTGCAGTAGCTGAGCACACTGCTGGTCATGCTGCAGGAAATTCACACCACCATGTCAGTGGTTATTTAAGAATGGTGTGAATCAGAGCACCCTTCACGTGTTAGGTCACACCCCAAAGTGTCTTTAGCACTCTACAACTTGCTGTGCTGAAATATTTGAAAAATACTGCAACTTAAGATCTGTTAGCTTTGGTTGTGAAACCAGGCACCTAAATTTAGGTTACACCCTCAAAAAGCACTCTAGTTATGAGTAGAAATGCTAGGTATTTAGTGATGAGTTGCATGTGAACTGAGGTTGATCATTGTTTAAATTACTAAATGTTTAGTGTTCCCAACTGAAGAGAATGCTGTGTTCCTATGCTCCTGGTGTATTGTGAGTTGCGGACGTTTTTGATATACGTGCATCTTACGGGCCTCAGGCCCTGGGATAGGAGAGGTTTAATCATGGCCAGTTGAGCCAGCTCCAAACAGTGCTCAATGCAGCCGAGTGTCTGTGCAAACTCTGGAGTTTGTGCAAGTTGTTGTTGTAGTTGTAGAAGTTTATTTAACATCGCACCACAAACAGGCGATTTCGCCTCCTCTGATACATGTGAACGACAAGTGTATAGGTGTTCATTCAACCACTACTCCTACTACTCCTAGTGCAAATTGAGTACATTCCAACGACTATTTCAAATATTCAGGTTTAGCAAGACAAAATTTAGGTGAGGAAATTTTGAAGAGGGTCAGCAAACAGGATTGGTATTGGTTAGATATAGACACTTCCAACAGTAATACAGACACTAAGGAGTAGTAAATTTATGACTGCCCTGACACGAAGCCACTATCATGTTCCGACTGGTTTCCGCGACGGGGCACTTGTGTTAAATGCTTGTATCCCTCCCTCTTGTGGCTTTTGCTTGTACACAATATTTTTTGTGTACACAATCATGTTTGTCTGTGTACCTGCGTGTGCCTGTGCAGAGGTGACCATCAATCGTCTCCGTGAAAAGGTCAAGGAGTACGAAGAAGAAATGGAGGAAACAGCAAAGGTGTGTGTGTGTGTGTGTGCGTGTGTGTGTGTGTGTGCGTACGTGTGCGCGTGTGCGTGTACATTTGCATAGAAACTGTGAAAAAGGCGCTGGTTGCCGACTCCCCGTAGCCAGTTTTGTTGATTTGGTATTAGTATTACGTTTCTTTCATTCTTCCAGGTTCACACAGTCATAATGATAGAATTCGATTCATTCTTCCAGGTTCACACAGTCATAATGATAGAATTCGATATTGATCATATTTTACTTGCTGTCATTCTCAATGAAAAAATAAAAAAAATTACTGTCTTTTCGTGAATGGAACTGACGACGCCCGCTAACACCCAGTAACCCTCATTCTCACTGCTGTGAGCAATCATTTATACCGACCGTCTTTCCCCGATTGTAAGGCGCACTCGATTATAAGTCGCACCCCCCCCCCCCCCCCCCCCATGTTGAGGTTTGAACCACATTGTTTCAATACATGCATGTACGTAGGATGTCACTCTCGATTGTAAGTTGCATCCCCTTCTTTTCCCTTGAAGTTGAGTGTAAAAAGGTGCGTCTTATATTCGGGGAAGTACCATACTCCTTGTTCATTCTTGTCCTTTAGTGCGTTGTGGCAAGAATTTGTGCATGAGTGGCTCTCGTTGTTTTCTGTTGTTTCTGTTTGTTCGTCTATTATCTGACTTTGTTAGGCAAGAGCACAGGAGAAGGAGTTGGAAATGCAGCGTCGTTTCACTGAGAAGGAGCGGTGCGTAGTTGTGGTATTGCTAATGGCAACTGCTACTCACTGAGGGTGTGATCATGTTGGACTGGTTCCGGCGGGCTGTGTGTGTGTGTGTGTGTGTGTATGTGTTAATTGGCTAGTTATCTGGCGCTAGTCTTGATGTGTCTCATTCAGATCTTGTCCGCTATCGTTGCTATAAGAGAAAATCTGTGGGTGCACGTCCAGAGCATTTGCAGATTTGCGTGCTTCTCTTGCGACGGGCGTATACATGGTATGGTATGGTATGTGTGTGTGTGTGCACTCTGCAGAGATCTCACCAGTCAGAATGTGGAGCTGGCTACCAAACTAGGCATTGCTGAACAGCAATCTGCATCCCTGCACACTGGTAATTTTTGACAATGCTCTTCTTAAAAGAGTTTTTAGATGGAAGTGCTCACGGGTTCTTCTAGTTTTGAGTTGCTTATTATTTGCTCGATACTGCTTTTTGCAATGGTCTGAGCATGCTTGTGCGGGAGTGCGTGCTCGCATGCTGTGGCCACTAAGATGTGTGTTGTCACTTGTCAGGGTGGCTGGTTGATGGCCGGATCACTTGTCAGGGTGGCTGGTTGATGGCCGGATCACTTGTCAGGGTGGCTGGTTGATGCCTGGGTCACTTGTCAGGGTGGCTGGTTGATGGCCGGATCACTTGTCAGGGTGGCTGGTTGATGCCTGGGTCACTTGTCAGGGTGGCTGGTTGATGGCCGGATCACTTGTCAGGGTGGCTGGTTGATGCCTGGGTCACTTGTAGTCAACTGTCTCTACTTTACCTACATATTATATAGCTGGTCTCTGTGTGTCCGTACCAACAATGGCTGGGATCAAATAACTGTATGTGTGTGTGTGTGTGTGTGTGTGTGTGTGTGTGTGTGTGTGTGTGTGTGTGTGTGCGGGCGGGCGGGCGGGCGGGCGGGCGTGGTGAGGGAGATATGAAGTGATTTCTATTGTTGATGTTGCTTCTGCTGTGTGTGTATTTGAGAGACAGACAGACACACACACACACACACACACACACACACACACACACACACACACACACACACACACACACACACACACACAGACAGACAGACAGGCACACACACACAGACAGACACACAGACACACAGACAGATACGCAGAGGGTCAGAGGGTCAGGGAGGGAGGGAGAGAGAGAGAGAGAGAGAGAGAGAGAGAGAGAGAGAGAGAGAGAGAGAGAGAGAGAGAGAGAGAGAGAGAGAGAGAGAGAGAGAGAGAGAGAGAGAGAGAGAGAGAGAGAGAGAGAGAGAATGCTACGTTAATCACCATAAACAATAAATTAAATAATCTGTGTGGTTGTATGCATGTCTGCTTTGCTGTGATATTTTCCTCCAGCGCTGGACAGTGTACGTGATGAAGTTGTTGTACTTCGTACCAAGAATGACGAGCTCACAGAGGCAAGGTATGTCTGAAAACAGCTGCGCCGCCAAGTCCTCTTTTATCTATAATTATTGGACTTTGTATTAGAGTCATCATGGAATATTCCATAACTTTCTCTGGACGTCTGTTCATCCGTGTGTCTGTATGGACGTCTGTTCATCCGTGTGTCTGTGTGCATGATGTGTAGGTCTTCCGAGTTGGACATGGTATCGACTGACTTGGAACGCTCCCAACTGGTAAGTCCGTTTCGTTATCGGTGCACGTCTGTTCGTCTGTATCTTCGTTTTGTCTGTCCATCTGTCTGTCCATCTGTCTGTCAATCTGTCTGTTTGTAGAAAAAATTAATTTTTTTACATGGTTCGCCTAAGACTCAGTTTGACCGAGGTTTCCACATCTGTAGGAACGCCTTCACCCTGCAAAGATGTGCAGGGTGTGAAGCAATCAGTAGCCTAGTTCTCCTAATGATAACACGCCATCCAAGGCCCGGCTAGAAGTTAGAAAATCCACAACGTACGCCAGTAGATACAGTCAACTTCGCTTATAACGACACTCGGAGGGGCATCAGAAAAGTGTCCTTATTCGCGAAGTGCCGTTATACCCGAAGTCTCATTTTATGTATTACAGTTGGATGGGACTTTGCTCTGGGCATGGGAAGTCTGTCGTTATTCGCAAATTGTCGTTATATCCGCAATCGTTCTTAGCGAAGTTGACTGTAGCCGAACTACGCAACAGGAGCAAGATCTGATACTGTTGAATCTTAACCCTTTATCCCTTTTCCGCGGACCATACATTTATCGATGACGGATGATGCTCTGTGTTCTCTCCGCTGCTGCTTCCAGTTCTATCACCCACAACACCAGCTCTTGCTCCTTTGTTTCTGAGTTTGTATTTTGTATTTGTATTTATGTTTCTTGTTGTTCTTGTTGCGTTCTGTCTCTGCCACCGTCAGCGTGCTCAAACTGCAGAGAAAGAAGCCGAGCAAGTGCGCGATCAGTTGGCAAATGCTCAGCAGCTGCTCAAGACCGGTACTGCAACACACTCCAGCTCAGCGGACCAACAAGACCACCATGCTGGAATTCAGGCTTCGCTCGAAGCGGAAATCGCTGCGAAAGACCGAGAGGTTAGTGATGGGTTGCTGTCCTGTGTTGTTGCTGTTTCACAGTCTCTCTTTGCACCACCATGCTGGAATTCAGGCTTCAGTCTCTTTGCGCCACCATCACATGACTAGGTTGTCCTGGGCAGGGAGTACACCGGTTGATTCTTATGGTGGGAAAGACACATGTGGGGAAACAACGGTAACTGCACGCCTGCCCACACACACTGCCTGCCCACACACACTGCCTGCCCACACACACTGCCTGCCCACACACACTGCCTGCCCACACACACTGCCTGCCTGCCCACACACACTGCCTGCCCACACACACTGCCTGCCCACACACACTGCCTGCCCACACACACTGCCTGCCCACACACACTGCCTGCCCACACACACTGCCTGCCCACACACACTGCCTGCCCACCCACACTGCCTGCCCACACACACTGCCTGCCCACACACACACACTGCCTGCCCACTGCTCCCACACACACACACTGCCTGCCCACTGCTCCCACACACACACACTGCCTGCCCACTGCTCCCACACACACACACTGCCTGCCCACTGCTCCCACACGCACACTGCCTGCCCACTGCTCCCCCCCCCCCCCCCCACACACACACTGCCTGCCCACTGCTCCCACACGCACACTGCCTGCCCACTGCTCCCACACGCACACTGCCTGCCCACTGCCCCCACACCAACACTGCCTGCCCACTGCCCCCACACACATACTCTCAGCTGCAAAGTTACTCTCTGGCATAGATCTCTGCTTCTTCTTCCATCACCTTTCTTCTCCGTTCTTCTTCTTCCAGACTGTAACTTTGCAGCTTTGAGAGAGTGTGTGTGTGTGTGGGGGGGGGGGGGGCAGGTGTGTATATACCGCCATTTCCCCACGTGTGTCTTTCGCGCCGTATGAGTCAACCTATACGAACAGCTACAGTGAAATCTTCCATTGTGAAGTCTTCCATGGTGAAGTCTTCCATGGCGAAGTCTTCCATGGCGAAGTCTTCCATGGTGTGAAGTCTTCCATGGTGAAGTCTTCCATGGCGAAGTCTTCCATGGCGAAGTCTTCCATGGTGTGAAGTCTTCCATGGTGAAGTCTTCCATGGCGAAGTCTTCCATGATGTGAAGTCTTCCATGGTGAAGTCTTCAATGGTGAAGTCTTCCATGGTGTGAAGTCTTCCATGGTGAAGTCTTCCATGGCGAAGTCTTCCATGGCGAAGTCTTCCATGGTGTGAAGTCTTCCATGGTGAAGTCTTCCATGGCGAAGTCTTCCATGATGTGAAGTCTTCCATGGTGAAGTCTTCCATGGCGAAGTCTTCCATGGTGTGAAGTCTTCCATGGTGAAGTCTTCCATGGCGAAGTCTTCCATGATGTGAAGTCTTCCATGGTGAAGTCTTCAATGGTGAAGTCTTCCATGGTGTGAAGTCTTCCATGGTGAAGTCTTCCATGGCGAAGTCTTCCATGGCGAAGTCTTCCATGGTGTGAAGTCTTCCATGGTGAAGTCTTCCATGGCGAAGTCTTCCATGATGTGAAGTCTTCCATGGTGAAGTCTTCAATGGTGAAGTCTTCCATGGTGTGAAGTCTTCCATGGTGAAGTCTTCTATTGTGAAGTCTTCCATGGTGAAGTCTTCAATGGTGAAGTCTTCCATGGTGTGAAGTCTTCCATGGTGAAGTCTTCTATTGTGAAGTCTTCCATGGTGAAGTCTTCCATGGTGAAGTCTTCCATGATGTGAAGTCTTCCATGGTGAAGTCTTCCATTTCATTCTTAGTACGGACAATGGTAACTATACTTGCTAGTGATGCAGCAACATCAGTAGGGATATCAGCGAACGCACTGCGCAGCGTGTTCGCGCATGTCTTACGTCATACAATAATCTATGAGACGTACGACTGACAAGAAAAAAATGGCGATCGCTAAAATCATGTCTTGGGTCAAGCACAGCGCAGGCCGACCATGTACTAGGAGTAAAAAATAAAATCGACACTCTACAAGAAGCCTGATTGTTGGTTTGCTTGACCTCGATTCATGCAGGAAAGGAGACATCAGGAGCTAATATTCTTCTGCGCCCATGCCTGGTAAACGTTCTCAAGCAAAGACTTGACAAAGGAAGAAGACGTCCGTAGCTGGATGGAGCTATGTTTGCAACAAAGAACAGTACTCGTACTTCCTTGCGAACAGGCCACCTGGTGACCGCTGGTTACGTCTGAAACTTACTTGTTGCTAGCCATGCCAGGCAAGTTTCCAAGACTTGGGCCCCTACTCCCTTGTCTAGACAGCCATGACCAGAAACTGCTTGGGCACAGGCAGGTCCTCGATTCGAGAACAAGTCACTGTCAACTGTCAGTCGAAACTTCAAAAGCGCCACGCGTGGTATATGTACGTACATGGTGCCCAAGTAATCTTTCGATTATTTTCGCGCGAACGCCTCCGTGGATTTCCTCCAATCTTGGCACGTGTAGTCCACATGGTCAGGCCAATTCAATGACGTCTTCAAATGGGGACTTCCCTGGTTAGATCTTGCCAGGTACCAGCCGACGTACTACGAAATCTAGCTGACGATCGTCCATTTTTGAGCTGGAAGAAAGTGCCTCGGAAAACCTGTGGATGACGTCGAGAGCAGTGTAATAAGCGATGAATGTATTCGTAGTCACCTTTGTAGCCATCGCCCAACGTCGTAGAGGGGAGCTTCGAAGAAGCTCGGCTCTAGCTGGTCTTCTTCCTCAGACACTTCTTCGCCATTCCGTCCTTCTTTTCCATCCTGATTTACTAGCGATTTTTTTCGGTTGTGGATGATCACGGCTTGTCGGCCGCGTGAGATGTGCACGTGATCACCTGCGCAGTGGCCTGCGCAGTGCGTTCGCTGATATCCCTAACATCAGGTCTATCAACCCCGTAGCCTTCGCTCAGGCCGCAACGCCCACACCTCCAATAATATCTTATTTAAAGGCCGATATGCCTCGTACCAGATTCAAGGCATCACATCACAATCATCATGTCGACTGCAGCTTGAAGCTCATCCCAAGCACAACGAATTTGCGTTCAACATGTTTGTGTATGATGTGTGGTGTATGCTGTATGATTGTACTATGTTGTACTATGTTGTACTATGTTGTACATGTACATGATGACCTCCAACTATGTAGTTGGCGCCACAAGCGCTATCTTTTAATCACCATTGTATTCGACTTGAAGAGTAATGGTACGAAAGGCCTAGTGGAAACTATAATGGCTTCTGTGCTTCGTGTGCTGATTTGCTTTCCTGCAACCGAGAATCTATGATGTATGTGCTGATGTATGATGTATGTACTGATGTATGATGTATGTACTGTTTGTTATTTGCAGGTAATCCGGTTAGTTGGCGACCTACAACAGTTGCAGAGTGCAATGAGCAAAACCAAGGAGAATTCTGCAGCCCAGGTATGTATGTCTGGTGGTGTTGTTGTTGTCGTCGTCGTCGTCGTTGCTGTTCCTGTTGTTGTTGTTGTTGTTGTTGTTGTTGTTGTTGTTGTTGTTGTTGTTGTTGTTGTTGTTGTTGTTGTTGTTGTTGTTGTTGTTGTTGTTGTTGTTGTTGTTGTTGTTGTTGTTGCGGAGACTACCTTGATTTAGGCTACAGCCTGTGGAGAATCCGTACTGTAAGTCTACAAATTTTCGCCCCATTCAATTTTCGGCCTTCCAGGGCTAAAACACATTTCGGCTGCAACAAATTTTCGGTCTGTACTGCTGCTGCCTGTATACACTGTCACACTGACCCTTGCAAAACAAAATTTCGGCTGCAACAAATTTTCGGCCAAATATGATCAGGCCGAAAATAGCCAAATATAAAATTAATGTGCGCCGAATATTTGTAGACTTAAGCTGTGTTCCCAACTGGCGCGTGGACGCGGTACGCTTGTGGTTCATGCGTGCCTAAACGCGCGCTCAAGCTTTCACAAAAGACAGCAATCCGAGTCGTATTTAGCGCGTGCGACACCTTCGAGTACTAATTTTATGACCCCGCCAGTCAAAGTGACTGGCATGTACGCTGGTACGTGCCTGATACGCGCTGAAAATTCCAACATGTTGGAATTTCCATTTCGGCGTGTTTCCGTACGCATGGCGCCCCAAAAGCCAGCAAAAATACGCACAAACGCGTGGTTTCGCGCGTACACGCGCCAGTTGTGAACACAGCTTTCCAGTAGATACCAATACAGCCAGTGTGTTGGTACGCATTTTTTATTGTATTGTGTTTTATTATTTTACTTGGCCAGAGTGTCTGCTGCAAATCGGGCATTTGCAAGCATTCCATGGAAACGCCACAACCTGAATTCCAGGCTGTGTATGTTTTCCTGCCTGATATTGCCTGTCTTACTGTATAACTGTGCGCTTTGGACCTTATCGCAAACATTAACCGACGTCGTCAATGTATGGCACCGGAAGAAACTACGTACCATCATTGGTATCACGTACCCACAACGAATCTCGAACACAGCGCTGTATGCCAGAACCGAGCAGACCCACTATCCCAAGTCTGCAGGCAACGGAGACTGCTGTGGTTCGGCCATGTAGTGAGGGAAGGCGAAGAATCGTCCTCTTTCCAAGCCCTCCTAATGTCAATCAACACAACAGACATACGACGACCCCGAGGACGACCCCGTCTGAGATGGATCGACGTTGTCAAGAAAGACTTACAATGCATTAATCTGTCGCTTCTGGATGCTGTGCAATCTGCTTCTGATAGAGCTGCTTGGCTCGAAATTGTTAACAGATGCGTTGACCTCATGCAATGAGTGAAATGCGAACTGTCATTATTATTTATTATTATTATTCCCAACAGACCCTAAGGTCTTCTTACAGGGTGCCCAAGATGAATGAATTTGTTAAGTTCCTGGCGAAATGAATTGGGGGTATGATTTGTGCGAAGGGATTCGGGAAGCGCATTAAAGCGGTCAGCACCAAGGAATGAAATAGATTTGTAACCAGCTTTGAGCTTTCACGCATGCCCATTGTCCAGGGGACAACGCCTTACGGAGAACAGTTAAAAGTTAAAACTGCGTTTACCTTTCTGCAGTGATTCGTGAAAGTGTGCCGGTCTTCGTTGAACTTTAGTTTAAAAAAATTATTCTTTTTCCCCCGCGAATCCTGACTTCAGATAACATCATTGGAAGGTCAACTAACAGACCAATCACAAGCCATACATACGCTACAGGAGAAAATCACGCTACAAGATGATTATGATGAAATCAAACGTGAACTAAGGTATGAGGTATGATGTCATGTCTTCTCTCTCTCTCTCTCTCTCTCTCTCTCTCCTCTCTCTCTCTCTCTCTCTCTCTCTCTCTCTCTCTCTCTCTCTCTCTCTCTCTCTCTCTCTCTCTCTCTCTCTCTCTCTCTCTCTCTCTCTCTCTCTCTCTCTCTCTCTCTCTCTCTCTCTCTCTCTCTCCCCTCCCTCCCTCCCTCCCTCCCTCCCTCCCTCCCTCCCTCCCTCCCTCCCTCCCTCCCTCCCTCCCTCCCTCCTCCCTCCCTCCCTCCCTCCCTCCCTCCCTCCCTCCCTCCCTCCCTCCCTCCCTCCCTCCCTCCCTCCTCCCTCCCTCCCTCCCTCCCTCCCTCCCTCTCTCTCTCTCTCTCTCTCTCTCTCTCTCTCTCTCTCTCTCTCTCTCTCTCTCTCTCTCTCTCTCTCTCTCTCTTGAAAATATGTCAAAAATTATTATTGTAGTCTCAAACATGAAGTCATTATTTATTTCGGTTGACTCCTTCTATGTGAATGGCATTTTGTTTTAAAGGTAAAACTGCATGCAACTGTACTGTCAGAGAGATTTAGTCCTTCTTTTCCGCTTTGAATGTGTGTATGTGTGTGTGTGTGTGTGTGTGTGTGTGTGTGTGTGTAAGTGTGTGTGTGTGCGTGTGTGTGCGCGTGTATGTGTGTATGTGTGTGTGTGTGTGTGTGTCGCGCGCACGCGCGTGCATGTGTGTATGCGTAAGTGTGTGCGTGCGTGCGCGCGCTGTGTGTGTGTGTGTGTGTGCGTGTGTGTGTGTGTGTGTGTGTGTGTGTGTGTGTGTGCGCGCATGTGTGAGTATGTTTGTGTGAGCCTGTGAGCGTGCGTGTGTTTTCGTATGTATGTGCTTGTTTGTCCGTATGCATGTGTGTGTGTGTGTGTGTGTGTGTGTGTGTGTGTGTGTATGTGCATGTGAATGTCTGCCTGTTGGCTTGTCTTTCTCTGCATGTTCTGAAGCATCCTGAAGATGATAGAGTTTCCGTCATCATCATCTCGACTTGGTGACTCTGATGATGATGAGGATAATGATGATAATGATGATGTTGACGGCGCGGACAGTGTTAGAACAAAGGTATTTGCACACGCACACACACACACACACACGCACGCACACACACACAGCATACATTATAGTGATGGGGTTCGTGTCAGTACCCAGTAGAGCTTGACTGAAATGGACCTACAGTGATTGCATGGCTGTGAGGAGTAATGACATACTGGTGACTATTGCAACTAACACACACTATACAGTTATCTAGTTACAGGATGTTTGTGTCAGTCAGCCATGCGACTATTTATTTTTATTTTTATTTATTTCTGCACCTCGTAGCATGTCAAGACAGCCAATTGAATTGCGGAGAGGGTGGGACCAACCACGGAAGAAGAGAAAAAATGAAATGAATAGCGCTGACTAGTGTACTGTCGTGTTAAGCCTAGTTCACATTCAACGCAACGCTGACGGTACGGGACGTAAGGGCTTGTCGGGAAGGCTGGGCTGAGCTGTAAAATCTTGTACGATTCGTACGGCACGACATGCTGCAGTCGTTGCGTCGTTCAACAGCGAACGGCGTCAGTCATAAGGCACGGTCCGTGACAGGGCGACTTTTGGACCTAATTTTTTTGTTTTTGAGACTTCTTTTCAATTATTTCTCCTTGAATGGAGCGGAATCAAGTTCACAATACCAGTTTTTCATGAACACCAAAAAAGTAGCTTCGAAAAGTGTGCCATTCAAATAATAGCTCCAGGAAATGATAAAACAGTTCGTCTGTCACGCTCCTGAACTATCCCTAAATACCATACGTGACAACAGACCTTATCTTGCTCAAATTCAACTCAAGTCGTGTTAGCCATTCTGCGAGTTATCATGGGAAACGCAGTGTTCGGAATGCTAAAAATTTCAAAGTACGATTCGGGAGTATTTGGCGCACGACGCCGTCTCCTGTTCACACTCAAAATGCAGCTGTTTTGTACGCTTGCGTCCCCGTCTACGGTATGAAAAGTTGGATCGATCCAACTCTTCCCGTCGCTTCCCGATCCGTACGGCAGTACGGTTGCGTTCCCGTTCCTGGTGTTCACATTGGACGCAGTCAGACTGTCCCGTCGCTTCCGGTCGATCCTTACGTCGCGTCCCGTCGCGCCCCGTCGAATGTGAACTAGGCTTAACAGGTTGTTTGTGTCAGTCGGCCACATGACTTGTGTTTATGTGAGTCGGAGACGTGACTTGGTTTGTGTCAGTCGGTAACCTCATTCTTTATTCCGTTTGGCCTAAGCATAGACTAGCCAAGCTTGCTTGGTGTTGTCAACGCGAAAAGGCTGCTGCTGCTGCTGATGATGATGAGACGTGACTTGTGTTTGCGTCAGTCGGCCTCTCGACTAGTGTACTGTTGTGTTCAAGTTGTTATAGGCTGATGTGTCTGTACGTGTACTCTGCCACATTTCAATGTCGCTTGTTCTCTTACTGCCATTCTCCTCTAACAATGCTGCAGGAAGTATCAAAGAAACCTCTGGAAGTGCTCTTTCTGGAGAAGAATAAAGGTAAGGGCTAGTAAGGAAATGAGACGTCGTTGCTTTTTGCGCCAAGTAATTATCTTACTTTTCTATTGTGATATTTTTAGTATTCTGCTGACAGTAAGCCAATGGGGATATGCGATGAAAATAAAAATATCGTATTAAATTTTTGAACAAACGGCGAGGAGACAATAATTTGATAACCGCAATCAAAATGACAAGCTGAATCGGCATTTGTGTACACTTTATTCATGCAATGTAAAACTGTGGAGACAAATGTCGATTCAGCTAGCCATTTTGATTGCGGTTATAATTAAATTTAGTGATCAATAAAAAATACCATATTAATTTTTTGATCAATGCTACACAGCTGTAGATGGTACTGCCAGAGGCAGTGATCGTGGTCATGATTCAGGCAGGGGGGGGGGGGGGGGGAGAGGGGGGGGGGGGGGAGAGAGAGGGGGGGGGGGGGCACTGGTGGTGCTGCAGGTGCTGATGGTTATGCTGGTAGTGCTGGTGGCGAGTCATCTTTATTATTCAATCCACGAAATTTGACACCGAGCGTGAAGAACCATTGCGGTAAAAGCCATTGTAAATTTGCTGGTGCTGGTGCTGCTGGTGCTGATGCTGATAGTGGTGGTAATGATTGTAATGGTGGTGATGCTGCTGGTGCTGCTGGTGATGGTAATGGTGGTGGTTCTGGTGCTACAGTTGTACGGCAGGATTCGAATAGGATATGTTTATATATACTGCCCTGTACGATCGCTTCCACGCCTGCATCACATTACTCCCTGTCTTAACTCCTTGTCTAAATCCCCGTCTAATTCCCTGTGGAAATTTCTGTGTAACTCCCCGTTTTATTTCCTTTGGAAATTCCTGTGTAACTCCCCGTCTAAATTCCTGTGGAAATTCCTGTGTAACTCTCCGTATAATTCCCTGTGGAAATTCCTGTGTAACTCCCTGTCTAATTCCCGTGGAAATTCCTGTGGAACTCCCTGTCTAATTCCCGTGGAAATTCCTGTGTAACTCCCCGTCTAATTCCTGTGGAAATTCCTGTGTAACTCCCTGTATAACTCCCCGTCTAATTCCTGTGGAAATTCCTGTGTAACTCCCTGTCTAACTCCTGTGGAAATTCCTGTGTAACTCCCTGTCTAATTCCCGTGGAAATTCCTGTGAAATTCCCGTGTAACTCCCTGTGTAACTCCCCGTTTAAACTGTGTAATTCCCTGTCTATCTTGTAATAGGGCTTGAAAGTGCTACGTCACTGCATAGCAACAATTTCAAAAATTCAAAAACTGGATCCGCTTGGATCCAGTTTTTGTATGGATCCAAGCACATTTCAAGCGGTCTTACTCACAGCAAGGTGATGTAGCCAGTGAAATTGACTGGGTTGGCTAATGGGGGTGGGGTGACAACTGGTGGCGAAGAAAAAGTCACACCTGCATACGACATGCGTGGGTTGCTATGCACCCACATACTGAGGCAATAGCAAAGTCACACCTTAGTGGATCCAAAATAGAAATCTGATGTGAACTTAGTACTCCCTGGCCTTTTTTGACGTCATCACTTTCAAGCCCTATGTGCCATTCACACGACGTGCACATTTCCCGGCATTTTCAGGAGGCCACTAAGGATACATTGACGGTTGCAAAGTTTTCCCAGCACCGTGTGAACTGGATGACGGTTTGCCAGTGTTATCTTGGTCACACACGTGCAAGTGTTTACACGGCGTGTGATTGGCCTATAAGGGGATTACTGGCTACGCCTCAGTCTATCCTCTACCCTGGCACACCAACCAGCAGAACACAAGTCTTCAATTACAGATAGGAATACATTTCGAGAGAGAAGCTAAAAACTACAAATATCAGTGAAACATCGTCTAGGTCAACTAACCGACGAAGAGTACATGAACCGATGTACTCTTGGGATTTTGGGTCAACTCAAACAATCATCTCGAGCCAAGCAAGGATCGCGCATCAAGGTAGCGAGGAAAAATGGCAACCCACGTCATCACATGTACAGATATATTTATACTGAGCAGAGAGAAAGGAACGTCACGTGCGCCCAACGCAAATAAATCGAACGAGGTGATCGGCAATAAAATAGTAAATCAGAGAATGATCGAACAACCGACGTACTCGACGTAGACACAAAGGATTAGAGAGACAATGTCAAACGAGCAATCAAGAACAATAATCAAGGTAAGGGACAAGGGAGAGAGTCAGTAACAACGCAGCTGACCATGGATGACAACGTCTGTCAGCGGTACCGTAAGCATACAACAATACAAATATCAAGAGTCTGTGATGGTCTCTTGCGAATATCTTTCAACTCCACAACATAATATGAGCCGTCAGATGAGAAAACAGATCTTATCACAAAAAAGTCATATTTTTTGTTTGTGGTGCTATCTGATTGCCAGGAGCACCAGGAATCGTATGCAGAAAACCAGAGTTGATTTGGACCAGGGAAAGTAAAGTTATAGCCTCGACAGTAGGAGACCATTACAAATTGCACCTCAATTTTGGGTGCAATACCAACAATTGTTTCACCTACTTTGGATAATATTTTCTGTTTCCTTTGACCGATTTCCACAAACTTGGGCTTTCTGGAAAGCTCTGGCTACAAGCAACCAGTTGGGCCCAAATCCGATAGCAAATAAAGCACAGCTCCAGCGCAACAAGCTACAGACATCGCTTCAGCGCTAGACTTCCGCCGTCAAACGAAAATCGCTCGCCATTTCCATCTCCATTATCCCAGGACGCCCAATTTTTTTCGTGAAGATGCAGTGAGAGCTTCCAGGACGTCTGCGCCTGTTGCCGAGATCGTAGATCGCTTGAAAAGGGGGAAATCCCTGGTCTGGAGCGTTTGACTCGCGTGTAGAAATGCAAAGTGCCGTGACGTATCTTGCAGGCTTCGCATCTCGGGAACGCAGCATCGTGCCACGATCGCGCTTGCTGCATTGGATTCCTTGGAGTTTTCTCTTCGATTTACATACTTGGATTGTCCCAAAAGACCGATATTTGACTGAAATACGACGGTTTGTAGCTTGGTTGTCCAGACGCACCAGTGGGTAAACTCGCCAACTTTCAAGTGCACTTTTCTGCACTGTACAGTTTTTCGATAAGGTCTGTTTTCTCATCTGACGGCTCATATAATATATTCAAAACATGCAGTAATATCAATTCATAGAATTACAACACAACGATGTTACCAAAGATAACGTACTACTACTACCCCATCACCTGGTGACATCATTCACGACTAAGGTGTCAGTCGTACAACCTCTAGCTGGTCTCGCTATGTTGTCGCGGCAACAAAGATTATACCTACCAGCTTGAGGGGCTTCGCCGGCTGATGGCTCGAGGGGCAGAATTACTGGTATGTCTCCCTCGTCCAGGTCGGCAGCAGGCAGAGCATCTTCTGCATCTACATCTGGCGTTTCCACATCATGGTTGGGGGATATTCCCATGGCTCACCATTTTCAATAGTGCCACGTTGACGACAACCTTCTCACGACTGTCACAGGGACTGAATGACTACAGTAGAAGGACTCACTACTTTGAGCACTCTCCATCCGGTCTCGTATGGCGCTAGGCACTTCTGGCGTCGGCTGGGGCGTGCAAACAGCACTTCATCGCCAAGCTGGAATGAGCAGTCAACCGGCTTGTCGATACAGTCTGCACCCGGCAGCTCGCTATCAACCAGGTCACGGATTCGGGCATTCCGCTCATCCAGTCGAGTGCACCAATCATTCAAGGCAGACGCTTCGGCAGTACTTTCAATGACGTAGTCCCGCTTCCATCCCCTCATGGCCTCCATTGGCGACGCACGGGTAGAGACATGGGGCCACTGTCGGTATAGTCGTAGTAAGACGACCAGGTCGTCTCTCCAACAACTCGACTCGTCGACCAACTTCCGAATCAGGCCAGGCAATGTCCTGTTGAAGCGTTCAGCAGTTTCTTGGGACTGCGGATGTCTGACGGCTCCTGTCTTCACTCGGACGCCGAAGTACTTGAAGACAGACTCAACGAGCGCGTTCCGAAACTCAGACCCATTATCCATGCGGACAATCTTCGGCGTGCCCCAGAGGTTACACAGTGCCGTGAACGCCTTGGCAACAGAGGCAGCATCATGTCGAGCCAACGGGATAACTTCGGCCCACTTAGTAAGCGAATGAACTGCCATCAGTAGAGATGTCAGAGTGGTTACGTAATCGCCCTAAAATCGTGTCGCAGGGCTGACCATAGCAGCTACAGTCACGCGTGGCACACGACCATGATCCTGCACTAGGCTGAAAAAATCGCGTGGGCGTCCAAGCAGCATACTTCCATGGCCTCGTACAGCAGCCCAAGCTTGTTTTTGAAATGTTTGGAGAGGAAGAAGGCGAAGAGCAAAGAGAAAGCCCCTGTTCAGAGTTTGAACTAGCAATCTGCGTTGTGTTTTCGCGAAGCTGCCGTTGAGCCAAAGTAGGTTATTTTCGTTTGGCTTTTTCGGTCCCTGCGCATCGGTGCACGCCTTGGATTCGCTCACCATCGTCTTCCGCGTCCTTGAATTTAGTTTCTGGCAAAATTTGGTCGCCGTGCTTGCTTGCGCACCATAGTTTTTTGTTCTTTTTGTGCGCACCTATGTGAACAGGGTACATATGAGTAGTCTACGTGCGTGTTCAAGTAGTGGTTTCAGTTCTGATGAGAGGCCCAGAGGAACAACGTGATTTGTGCGTTGGATCATCTCTGGCTAAGCAGCTCGAGGTAAACCAAATCGACACGATATCGAATGGACTGGTCTTGGAACAGAGCAAGGTGAACGATGAAAATAACTGTACAAAACACGTCCCAATGTTCCTGGATTCTCACTGGCGTAGTTGTTCGATACTACATTAGTAGCTTTGCGATAGAGAAACAAAAATGCTTGATTCCGACAAGGTGTTGTTCTTTGCCGTCCATGGCGAGACGAACTAATTAATTTTGTTGCTTGGAGTACGGATTCGTCGTAATTTTTGCACTTTCCCTCAGCTCTGCACTTTGTAACCCTATGGCAACCGCTCATGACGCACTGGGCAAGTTGACGGCTTTTGTGCCATCGATTCTTGCTGTTTGTATGCAGTGGTGCATCCCTCAGCACGACAATGGCGGGTGCCTGTCATCCTACTTCGAGCGCGTATAAATACCGCTTCCATAGCTTGGATTCACCTAAAATTTGACCAGTACGGAGCGTTTTGGATACTGATTCGATTGGTATATCACTCATTCCTCTGGTTTCAAGTTAGATTTTTCGTCTGATATCGCTGCCATCAGCACACAATGGTAGCGGCCACTTCTATCTGTCTAAAATCCCTGTGTCTAACTTCCGGTGTAATTTACTGCTTATTTGTCCTGTTCTGTGTCAATGTGTGCGTGTCTACAGCTCTTGTAGCTGATAACACTTCACTCAAGCTGGCTCAAACTGAAATGAATGGTGAGTTCATGCAGATTGTCATGCTCTGGGCTATTGTGACCTGCTGGCATGGCATAGTGGCATAGTGGGGTTGCTGTGAGACCATGGCGGGCCGAACAAAGAGTGTCAGAATCAAGTCCATGGCTTAAGTGTCATGTTTGGGTGGGTGTGTTCTCCAGCTCAGCGTTCCCCACTCCTTGTGTTTGTTTGTTTTCCAACTACTTGGTCCGACTTATTAAAATGTGCGTTTCGCTTCGAACATCAACCTAACAAATTCAAATAATCTCAGGACGGAATAAACTTTCCAGCTATCTAACACTATCATTCAGTTGTCAATTTGTGATGTTGAAGAACAAATGGCTCCAACTCCAAAGGAGGCAGCGGCTCAGGATCCTAGTCGACTCGAGCATTTTGCGTCCAAATTTTGTCGTCAGAGGACTCCTGTTGCTTCTCGCGCAACACAGAGAAGGCCTGGTGCTAAAATCAACACCCCGCTGCGATGGGGGATTGTCACGGAGTACCAGAACCTCCTGGGTGATCGTTCTCGAGTGCCTCCTGGCGGATTGAAATCGCTGCAATCGCTGTTTCCTTGGCAGAATTTCAGCAAACGCGTCATCCAGAAATTCGTGCAGAAAGCACCAGCATCGCTCCGGCCAGTTTGCTGATCTCTCTCACAGTCGTTCACGATGTGGCGGCCGATGAATCAAGATCACAGAAGAGATCGTCGAGAAGTTGATCGAAATAAATAACCGGCCTTGAGGTCGACTTTCAGGCGACAACCTGGCTGGAAAACTGAAGCGCAGAAAGGGTGAATTATCCGGCGGATACGGTGCGGAGTCCTTGGATCCGCGAGCGGAGCTGCGATCGCGATGCGTCACAAGATCGCCAGTCTCCGGGGCCAGTGGATTCGTGAAACAGGCAGGGAAGAGCAGCTTAGAGTACGCATGGTCTGACTGCATGACATATCGACACAGATCAGACTCAGTACGCGCGCGGTACACGGTGGTCAGAAGTGATTTTTTATGCGTGGTGGTTTACTTGTTCGCCTCATTTGAAGGTGTCGTGGGAGCTTCAGGCTAAAACACCTACAGCCACCATTCTGGTAGTCGCACTGCACGAGGAGGAGGCAAAGTCGATTGTGGAAATCGTGCCTATGGAGTGAAAAAATCAAAGAAGCGCAGTGTAGCTTGGAGGAGATGAAAAAAATGTCGACGTTTTGCAGGTTGACGCACTTACAGATGCGCCCTGAGACACCAGCAGCGATGAAAACTAGAAGGTCAGGCCAAGAAACGACACAGTAGTTATCTATCTACCGTCTCTTGGTTGATTTTTTAGTACAGGTGCTCCTTTGTACATATGCTTGAGTTTTGAAGTGAAGCGCACATTTTAATTAGTCGGACCAAGTATCAGTTAACCACGCCTTTCGTTTTTGTTTGTGTTCCAGCTTTGTGTGTTGAACTATGTCTCACTCACCTAATGATCTGTTTACTATGTATATACGTCTATCTATGTGTACTCCACATGTCTGTGTCTGTGTGTGTGTGTGTGTGTGTGTGTGTGTGTGTGTGTGTGTGTGTGTGTGTCTGTGCGTGCGTGTGTGTGCGTGCGTACGTGTGTCTGTGTGTGTGTGTGTGTGCGTGTGTGTGTGTGTGTGTGTGTGTGTGTGTGTGTGTGTGTGTGTGTGTGTGTGTGTGTGTGTGTGTGTGTGTGTGTGTGTATACTTTCCTGTGCATATGCTCCCTGACATATGCAGTGCGTATCATGGAGCTAGAACAGGAGAGTGTGGACTTACGTGAAAGTTGCAGGCGTCAAAAAGACCTCATCACTCAACTCGAGATGGACTTGATTAGTGTCCAGAGCTTGCTACCATCCCGGACCGAAGGGGAGGTAAGATAACCCCTGATACCGACCGGGCAATAGCCCTTCCAGGGTCATAGTGAATCTGGATAGCGTGTAGAGCCTGCTACCGCCCCGGACTGAAGGGGAGGTAAGATCACCCCTGATACCGACCGGGCAATAGCCCTCTCAGGACCATAGTGAATCTGGATAGCATGTAGAGGTTGCCACCGCCCTGGACTGAAGGAGAGGTAAGATCACCCCTGATACCGACCGGGCAATAGCCCTTCCAGGGCCATAGTGATTCTGGATAGCGTGTAGAGCTTTCTACCGTCCCGGACTGAAGGGGAGGTAAGATCACCCCTCATATGGACCTGGGTGTAAATGCCCCGTCCTATCTCAGGGTCAGAGTGAATCTAGTGCAAACCTTGCTACTGCACCACCACGGGGGGAGGGTATGTGAGTCTCAGATGGTATAACCGATCACCAAGAGTACATGAAAACCAGAGTGTGCAGCTTGGGGCCTTTTCTACTATGGGTGTCTGTGACGGCGGAATTCCGTGATTACATCATATTTGGCGCAGATCTGAGGCGGGAAATGGGGTAGTGCGTACAACTGAGCTGCAGTTGTGCAGAAAGAGACCTGCTTGAATCCTGCTTGTACGCACTACATAACTAAAATGATGTTATCACGGAATTCCGCTGTGGCAGCAACCCATCCGAGCTGCACACTCTGGTTTTCATGTACTCTTGCCGTCCATACTGTGAACCTGGGTTGAAAACTAGATACCTGCGTGGGTTAGAATTACACATTATTACAGCAAGCGTGGGCCCAGGTAAAACAAATCCTCGAAGACTTCCCAGGAAAAGTTCAGATCTTGCGGGTATTGACATAATGTCAACAGACTTCCTGAGCTGGATTGTACCTATGCACCCCCCCCCCCCCCCCGTCCTCGTCTGCCTATCTTAATGTCGGGTTTCTCTCTCTGTGTGTCTCTCTCTCTCTCTCTCTCTGTCTCTCTGTCTCTCTCTGTCTCTCTGTCTCTCTGTCTCTCTCTCTCTCTGTCTCTCTCTCTCTCTCTCTCTCTCTCTCTCTCTCTCACGCGCGCGCACGCACGCACGCACACACACACACACACACACACGCACACATGTGTAGGGACAGGCTGCAGATTCCAGTACAGCAACCACAGAGACACTCCATCAGTCCAGTTCCCCTAGCTGGCAGCCAGCTCAATTGCCGCTCAGTCCCGCCACAAGCAAACCTCCCATCAGTGCTATACTACCTGGAAGTGGTGGTGGTAGTGGCAGTAGTTCAAGTGCTGGCGTTAACGCTTCCTCTAACGACTCTCTCTTGCCCATTGTATCAAGCCAGAGAGAACGCTTTCGACAGAGAAACCTTGAGCTTGAAGCGGTGAGTTGGGGGTGCGTGCGCATGTGTTTGTGTGCGTGGGTGCGTGCGTGTGTGCGTGCGTGCGGGCGTGCGTGTGTGCGTGTGTGTATGTGTGCGTACAAGATCAAACACAACCTGGGCATTTTTTGTCGTTGTTGTCGTTGCTGCTGCTGCTGCTGCTGCAGGTTTGTTGTTTTTGTCGTTTGAAATGTTTTGTTGTTCTCACGATGGCCTGTGGCCAATAAGAGAATAGGAAATACAGGTGCAGTAGTTGGATCTGATAAAGAGATAGCAAAACTTAAAACTAAAGGAAACTAAAGGCAACTAAAGGCAACTACAGGCAACTACAGGCAACCTTATGAACACCGACATTGTATCTAACAACAACTGGTGAATAGCGACGCAATCCTCAAACCTACTCAAACCTACATTTGTGATGATTGTTTTCCTGGCTATTTTCGAGCTTCACGGATACCGCCAACTCACCAATAGTGACGTCTTTCTCCAGCACTCACCAATAGTGACGTCTTTCTGCAGCACTCACCAATAGTGACGTCTTTCTGCAGCACTCACCAATAGTGACGTCTTTCTCCAGCACTCACCAATAGTGACGTCTTTCTCCAGCACTCACCAATATCGACGTCTTTCTCCAGCACTCACAATCAAGGGTTACTATGCTAGTGTAGAGTGTCCTGTATGACGGAATAGGGAAGAACATCGATAAGACAAACCTTCACTTTAGAAAAGGGAAAAGACCAACAAGTTACGAGTTTGGACTAACGAGGTAAGGACTAAGGGGCCGTCCGGGGTTATCGATTGTTTTTACAAAACGAAACCAGGGATCGATTTACTTTGATGTTTTTGCATAGCAGTCACTGCTACACAGTTTTACAATTGACTAGCAACTCCCAGTATTGATTAGCAGTTTTCCTTCAACGAAAGTTTACATGTATAGCTGTACAATAGCAGGATTTTGTACAGAAGAGGACAATAGCTGCAGTTGCTATTTGCTTTTCCAAACAAACGGTTGACCTGAATATTTTACGTTAGGGTTTTCGCTTGGGCTTATTGCATGTTCAGCGTCCATCCGACTTCGAGTTCTTCACAACACAATGTCCTTCAACAGGGCAGTTCCACTGATTCCTTCCTCAAAGAAAGCTCAGGAAAGCGCTCAAACGATCGTGACACTTCGTTCAAAGCGCACAGAATTTTCGCTTTTCTCCTTTTCTTCATCGAAACGAATCGACACTCCTGGCGCGTCCAGTTCTTTTTCTCGCTTCTGGACAGTGATCAGATTCAGATTCTGACATGTTGGCTACATGAGACTAAGAACCATCTACTTCAATTGTGCCTTGTCGAACAGAAACAAACTGAATTGAGCTTGACAGTGAAAGAAGAAAGGAGAACTTCAGGGAAAGTCGCCGCCTTGTACAAAACTTCAAAAGACTGCAGACTGTGCAGTCTTGTACGACCGGTCGACCAGTGATAGCAGTGGCTAGTGCAGTGTCCAAAACCAAACAGAGCGCGATCCGCGACCCGCGCGCGGCCTGAGCAGGACAGGCCAGTTGTTGGAGTAGTAACATACTATTACTACTCCCTAGTCAGCAGTGTGTACAACAGTCGCATGCAAACTGCACACAATTTTTTATATTTTTTACGGGGTAACGGCCTCTTTTACGGACAAAATAAAGTCATGTAGACGTGAAAATTGAGATACCATGAAAGTTAAAATAGAATTTCATTCAAGTACAATACATTGGGAAACTCCAAGAAATTCCACGTAAAACAGACGAAATTCAGTTTTCAATGGCCGATGCCTACCCCAGCACCATCCTGCGTCGACAGGCCTGTCAGGCGCCTTCTAGACCCGCGTAGCCGGAGGTCGACTGCATGGATCACTGCAAATTGGCTGCGAACTCGCACCCAAGCCATGATGATTGAAAATGGCTTGTCCCACTTGAGGGCGAGGCGACCAGCAAGTCTCTCTTCTGATAGCTGGCGTATTCGCGATGTAGCACCCCATCCGTGGAACAAACCAGTGGTGTGAACGACCCACGGAGGTCCTCGGAGGCCTGACGGTACTTCTTTTTCTTCGCGTTAGCAGCGCGGTTGGAAGTAGCTTCCCAGGATGAATGGGAGTAACTGGGTGCGTTGGCATCAATGATGCGATTATCAAAAAACGCCACCCTGTTATCCTCCCAAACACCCGGGCAAGCCAATCTGCCCGAAGAGCAGGCTGCCCCGTCCGATCACCCTCCGGCTCCATGATCGGCTCGACGACAACACCACCGAATGCCATATCAGCTAGCTTTGCATCGCTATCACGCAGATCATTGTGGCCTCGCTTGATAAGTCCACCTTGCACACAAACCGACAAACTGCACACACAAACTGCACACAAACAGTACAGAATGGTCTTTGTACATACCGGTATTCATGGCCAGTGCATCGCAGTTTTGGGCGATAAAAAATGAAAAGCGAATCGCAGCCAGTGAATTTTGATTCGCAAACTGCGATGCGAACGCGGATAAATCGATCCCTGGAAACGTTTTAGTATTTTTCAGCCCCCACCCACCCACCCACCTTTTCTGCAGGTAAAACGAATTCCAATAAAATATTGATGTCAATTTTCAACACCCAGAAGAAACTGGGTACTCTCCATCTGCGTTCAATAATTATTTCCAAAACGAAACTCCATCAAACTCACCCACCCTCAAACGAAAACTTTTCGTTTTGAAAATATTGGTAACCTTGGACCACCAAGGTAAGGAGATCTTATGCAGTCTGATAATGTGGCATAACTCGTAGCGTATTGATCCTTTCTCTTTACACATAGTATTGGCTCAACATCAAAGTTTTAACTTCACTTTAGAAGAACTAATAATTCATAACTCTACTCGGCAAATCACTGTGTATTGCCAGTGGATAAACTATGGATAAGAAGAACTCCCGTTTTTTGCGAATGAATACCACCGGTTCCCTGGTGTTCGTCCTAAAGACGTTTGGCTGTACATAGGAGAGTGCCAACGTGTGGCTGTAGATATGCTGAGCAATGCAAGCAGTGACATACTCAACAGACAACAAGAGGTAGGGTGTTTGCTTTCTTCGTCTTGAGTTCGTCATGTCTAGTTGTTTTTTCCGTAGTCGTCTTGCAATTAACAGTCTTTCAAATGTAGTTATCGTCGTCCCTTTGTATAAGTGTGGAGATGGCACGGGACTGGGAGCAGGTAGAGAGAAGGCAGCTACAACATTGGTAACTGATATCTGGGGTTGATTTGCTGGAGGCGGAGTGGGATATTATCCAAGAGACCAAGGGAAGCATAGATGGCGAAATCTCTTAGCCGGCTTCGGCGTGTGTGTTGTGGGTAGCTCAAAAGTTGCTGTTGCTGTTGTTGTTCTCGTTGTCGTCGTTGTTGTTGTCTTCGTTGTCGTCGTTGTTGTTGTTGTTGTTGTTTCAAATCTTTTGTTGTTGTTGTTGTTTGAAATCTTTTATTCTCACGATGGCCTGTGGCCAATAAGAGAAAAATAATTACAGGCACGGGGATCAGATACAGAGAGATCAAAGTTTAGCTGCTTGCTGAGGCAGTAGCGATGGCAATAGGGAGTTTATCACATAGGCTGGGCGCAATGGAGCTACAGATGTGCTCAGCAATGTGAGCAAGTACATACGGAAGAGATGACAAGTGGTAGGATGTTTGCTTTGAAGTCTCGTCTGGGGTTGATTTGCCGGAGGCTGAGTGGAATGCTATTAAAGAGATCAAGAGAAGCATAGATGGGGGAGTCTCTTAGCCGGTATGTACGTGTTGTGGGTAGCTCAAAGGTTCGGGGGAACCTGAGCGTGCGAATGGGTTGTATTTGGGGTAGGTGAACTGCAAGAAGGTGTGGTGGTGCATATCTATGATGCAGGCTATGTGCAAGAAGGATATGGGAGAGGGTACGGCGGCTGCTGAGTGATGGCCATTTGAGTCGGTGCAGCAGCACGGAGTGGGTTCTGTGTTCAAAGAGGGGGAAATGCAAACAGAGGCGAGCGGCGCGCCGTTGGATGCGCTCAAGCTGGTCGTTCGGGGTTGCGGGGAGGGGTGAGAGGACAGTGCAAGCATACTCAAGAATAGGGCGGATGTAGGTTAGATAGATGGAGGAGAGAGCAGAAGTGTTTAAGGAATTGCGTAGTCGCAGGAGAAGGAACATCTTCCTGGTCGCTTTAGTGATGATGTAGTCAACATGCGAGTTCCAGCATAGATTCTGCTGTATGAGGAGGCCAAGGTGGCGATGCCTTGAGGCCACAGTGAGGTGGTATCGTTGAGTGTGATTGATGGTGGTCTGGGAGGTGGCCGGTTGGTGTGGTGAAAGTGGATGATAGTGGTCTTACTTTCGTTGACCAGGAGATGCCAATCCTTCAGCCACTGTGCCGTGGTTGTCACAGCTGGCTGGAGGTGCTCTTCTGCGGCTAGAAAATTCTCGTGAGCGGCAATGATGGCAGTGTCGTCGGCAAACTGGCTGCACTCAGTGTTGGCATTTATGCAGGCGGTTGGCAGATCGACTGTGTAGGCCGTGAACAAAAGCGGCCCCGAGACAGAGCCTTGGGGTACCCCCGCTGGAATGTTCAGCCAGATTGATTTGCTGCTCTCCACTTGTTGTTATTGTTGTTGTTGTTGTTGTTGTTGTTGTTGTTGTTGTTGTTGTTGTTGTTGTTGTTGTTGTTGTTGTTGTTGTTGTTGTTGTTGTTGTTGTTGTTGTTGTTGTTGTTGTTGTTGTTGTTGTTGTTGTTGTTGTTGTTGTTGTTGTTGTTATTGTCGTTGTTGTTGTTGTTGTTGTTGTTGTTGTTGTTGTTGTTATTGTCGTTGTTGTTGTTGTTGTTGTTGTTGTTGCTGTTGTTGTTGTTGTTGTTGTTGTTGTTGTTGTTGTTGTTGTTGTTGTTGTTGTTGTTGTTGTTGTTGTTGTTGTTGTTGTTGTTGTTGTTGTTGTTATTGTCGTTGTTGTTGTTGTTGTTGTTATTGTCGTTGTTGTTGTTGTTGTTGTTGTTATTGTCGTTGTTGTTGTTGTTGTTGTTGTTGTTATTGTCGTTGTTGTTGTTGTTGTTGTTGTTGTTGTTGTTGTTGTTGTTATTGTCGTTGTTGTTGTTGTTGTTGTTGTTATTGTTGTTGTTGTTGTTGTTGTTGTTGTTGTTGTTGCAGGAAACACGTCAGTTGCATCAAACCATAGCCGTACTACGTAACGAGGTGGACACACTCCGATCTGACAACATCAAGCTCTACGAGAAGATCAAGTTCCTGCAAAGCTATTCTTCGTCAGCGGTGAGGCTCCTTCGTTAATACTTGGTATCTACTGTTCACACATATACACACACACACACACACCTCAGACCTCAGACACACACACAGACACACACACACACGCACACACACACACACACACACACGCACACACACACGCACACACGCACCTCAGACCTCAGACTTGCCCATCGCGGAAGCGATGATTGAGAACAGCTATGTTAGACATAGCAACTTGTGCTGGGATTACACCATTCAACAGCTTGCAAGGCTGATGATTTGGCCACCACTGATGTTTAGCCTAGTATCCACCACACAGCTGATTGAAGTGGCTTTTTCTGGCCAGTAAACTTTTTTTTCATTTTTCATTTTTTACACACACGCCACACCACATACTCTGGCATACACACCCACCCACACACATACACACACACGCACACACACAAACACACACACCATTGACCATTGACCATTGGACGCCCATCGCCAGAGGCGATGATAGCGATGCTACAGCATAGCAATATACACACACACAAACACACACACACACACGCACACACACACAAATGCACACACGCGGATACGGTACATTCAGCCGATGGTACTCACGGCGCATTCAGCTATAATATTCTAGATCCTGTGTATATCACTCCGCTCCGATGTTGGCGTTTGTGTGCGTGTGTGTTTCTCCAAACTCACCACTTGTAGGGTAAAGGAGGACATGGTGACGTGTCTTTACACATGGGTGCTGCAACTACTGGTGCTGGTGCTGGTGCTGGTGGTTTCCGTTCCACAGTCGGTGGTAGTGGTGGCGGGGCAAGCAGCAGTGGTACCAATGATGACGCCGTTCTCCGCTATTCGTCACAGTACGAGGAAAAGCTGGACCCGTTCGCCGCATTCAGTCGTCGAGAAAAGCAGCGCAAGTACATGGGATTGTCCGCACCAGAACGCGCCACACTGGGCATTGTGAGTGATGACGTGTTCCGATAATCATATGCAGGGCCGGCGCCACTGGTGCGGCCGGTACGGCCATGGCCGTACCAATTTCCCAAAAAGTCGGTCCACGTGAAACGTCCAAAACCGGGGAGAAAAAGTTTCGATGTATGATTTTGTACAGGGAGTCGCCCGGAGTGCAGGATTTGCCGTCTAAATTCCAAAAAAATTCTGGGGGACGACCCCCAGACCCCCTTAAAGATGGCCCTTCGGCCGCACCGCTCCGCAGAAGCGGCCTCCGGCCCTGTGATATAATCATTATGTCATCAATACTCATTATGGATGTTGATGATGTACTGTAAAGAGTGAAATTTTCGCTAGTAATTATTATATCACGGTCAGTCACGACACCACACCAAGGTCGTTGACGCTGCAAATTCTATTAAAAAAGTGTTATTGAAAAGAAATGAAATCTCCAAATTTTCGCCCTTGGGGCTTCATCAGGGAGTAAAATAATAGTGAAATGAAACTGGCTCTGTAGCAAACTATAATAGCGGAGCATTGAGACATTGTAGCCAGTGTGCACCTATTGTTGTTTTCGCCATTCATTTATTATAGTGCTAATGTATGACGCCTCGTGCTCTCCTCTCCTCACTTCTGTAGTGCCAATGTCTCCATGTCTCAATGCTCCGATATTATCGTTAGCTACAGAGCCAGTTTCATTTCATTTTTATTTTACTCCCTGATGAAGCCCCAAAGGCGAAAATTTGGAGATTTCATTTCTTTTCAATAGAGTTTTTTTGAATAGAATTTACAGCGTCAACGCCCTTGGTGTGGTGCTGGTCACTGACCGTGATATGAATTGTCTGCTGCAGTGGAGCCTCCGTGTTCTAAAAAACATAATGATTATAATATAATAATTACATCATCAACATACGTACGGAATGGTGAAATAAATGAAATAAACGAGAGAGCTTGGAAGCTCAGGGCCCTACGCTATGCTTTTTCGCCTTGATGACCTAGACAAAAAAAAGCATAGGGATGTTATAAATTCTTAAAAAAAAAAATTTTTTTAAGACATAACCTGGGATTCGAACCCGCACTATCGCGCGCCCTGCATGCATCCCCCGATACACTTCGCATACATACTAATTCTTCCAAGTTGCTTCACGTTATGATCTTGCATTTGAAAGCCCTATTTGAATATGCATTGTGGCCAGCCGTCTTTGATGGTACGGTACGGTACGGGATAGGTACGGGACAGGTACGATCGAGGGTAATACGACACCGTCTACCGCCTTGATGACGGCAAAAAAAGCATAAGGATGTTATAAATTTTTCATTTCTCCTATTATTTTTTCAGGCATATCCTGGGATTCGAGCCCGCACTATCGCCCTACATGCATTCCCCCATACACTTCGCATTCATACCCATTCTTCCTAGTTGCTTCACGTTATGATCTTGCGCTTGAAAGCCCTATTTGAATATTGCGGCCAGCTGTATATGTGGCCAGCTGTGTTTGATGGTACGGTACGGTACGGGGCAGATACGGGATAGCGCCAGGCGTGACACAAACAAACAAACACACAAATACCAAACGAGAGAGCTTGGAAGCTCAGGGCCCTACGCTATGCTTTTTTGCCTTGATGACCTAGACAAAAAAAAAGCATAGGGATGTTATAAATTCTTTAAAAAAATTCCTTTTTTTTTAAGACATAACCTGGGATTCAAACCCGTACTATCGCGCCCTGCATGCATCCCCCGGTCTTTAAAAAATTCCTTTTTTTTAAGACAACCTGGGATTCGAACCCGCACTATCGCGCCCTGCATGCATCCCCCGATACACTTCGCATACATACTAATTCTTCCAAGTTGCTTCACGTTATGATCTTGCATTTGAAAGCCCTATTTGAATATGCATTGTGGCCAGCCGTCTTTGATGGTACGGTACGGTACGGGATAGGTACGGGACAGGTACGATCGAAGGTAATACGACACCGTCTACCGCCTTGATGACGGCAAAAAAAGCATAAGGATGTTATAAATTTTTCATTTCTCCTATTATTTTTTCAGGCATATCCTGGGATTCGAGCCCGCACTATCGCCCTACATGCATTCCCCCATACACTTCGCATTCATACCCATTCTTCCAAGTTGCTTCACGTTATGATCTTGCGCTTGAAAGCCCTATTTGAATATTGCGGCCAGCTGTATATGTGGCCAGCTGTGTTTGATGGTACGGTACGGTACGGGGCAGATACGGGATAGCGCCAGGCGTGACACAAACAAACAAACACACAAATACCAAACGAGAGAGCTTGGAAGCTCAGGGCCCTACGCTATGCTTTTTTGCCTTGATGACCTAGACAAAAAAAAAAAGCATAGGGATGTTATAAATTCTTTAAAAAAATTCCTTTTTTTTAAAGACATAACCTGGGATTCGAACCCGTACTATCGCGCCCTGCATGCATCCCCCGGTCTTTAAAAAATTCCTTTTTTTTAAGACATAACCTGGGATTCGAACCCGCACTATCGCGCCCTGCATGCATCCCCCGATACACTTCGCATACATACTAATTCTTCCAAGTTGCTTCACATTATGATCTTGCATTTGAAAGCCCTATTTGAATATGCATTGTGGCCAGCCGTCTTTGATGGTACGGTACGGTACGGGATAGGTACGGGACAGGTACGATCGAGGGTAATACGACACCGTCTACCGCCTTGATGACGGCAAAAAAAGCATAAGGATGTTATAAATTTTTCATTTCTCCTATTATTTTTTCAGGCATATCCTGGGATTCGAGCCCGCACTATCGCCCTACATGCATTCCCCCATACACTTCGCATTCATACCCATTCTTCCAAGTTGCTTCACGTTATGATCTTGCGCTTGAAAGCCCTATTTGAATATTGCGGCCAGCTGTATATGTGGCCAGCTGTGTTTGATGGTACGGTACGGTACGGGACAGATACGGAATAGCGCCAGGCGTGACACAAACAAACAAACACACAAATACCAAACGAGAGAGCTTGGAAGCTCAGGGCCCTACGCTATGCTTTTTTGCCTTGATGACCTAGACAAAAAAAAAGCATAGGGATGTTATAAATTCTTTAAAAAATTCCTTTTTTTTTAAGACATAACCTGGGATTCGAACCCGTACTATCGCGCCCTGCATGCATCCCCCGGTCTTTAAAAAATTCCTTTTTTTTTAAGACATAACCTGGGATTCGAACCCGCACTATCGCGCCCTGCATGCATCCCCCGATACACTTCGCATACATACTAATTCTTCCAAGTTGCTTCACATTATGATCTTGCATTTGAAAGCCCTATTTGAGTATGCATTGTGGCCAGCCGTCTGTGATGGTACGGTACGGTAGGGATAGGTACGGGTCAGGTACGATCGAGGGTAATACGACACCGTCTCCCGTACCGTACCATCAAACACAGCTGGCCACATACAGCTGCCCGCAATATTCAAATAGGGCTTTCAAACGCAAGATCATAACGTGAAGCAACTTGGAAGAATGGGTATGAATGCGAAGTGTATGGGGGAATGCATGTAGGGCGATAGTGCGGGTTCGAATCCCAGGATATGCCTGAAAAAATAGGAGAATTGAAAAATTTATAACATCCCTATGATTTTTTGCCGTCAGATACGGGATAGCGCCAGGCATGACACAAACAAACAAACAAACAAACACACAAACAAATACCAAATTAAAGCTGTGTGGACCCTGGCTAGCGCCAGACGTTACTGAAGTAACGTCTTCTGCATAGCGATCTTGCATTTGAAAGCCCTATTTGAATATGCATTGTGGCCAGCTGTCTTTGATGGTACGGTACAGGATAGGTACGGGACAGGTACGATCGAGGGTAATACGACACCGTCTACCGCCTTGATGACGGCAAAAAAAGCATAAGGATGTTATAAAATTTTCATTTCTCCTATTATTTTTTCAGGCATATCCTGGGATTCGAACCCGCACTATCGCCCTACATGCATTCCCCCATACACTTCGCATTCATACCCATTCTTCCAAGCTGCTTCACCTTATGATCTTGCGCTTGAAAGCCCTATTTGAATATTGCGGCCAGCTGTATATGTGGCCAGCTGTGTTTGATGGTACGGTACGGTACGGGACAGATACGGGATAGCGCCAGGCGTGACACAAACAAACAAACACACAAATACCAAATTAAAGCTGTGTGGACCCTGGCTAGCGCCAGACGTTACTGAAGTAACGTCTTCTGCATAGCTACGGGAATAACATAATTTGAAACTCGGATGTTGAGCCATAAATAAATGTAGAAGAGAAAAGGACGTAAGGATACGAGTTAAGAGTAACTCTCCATCACTGTAACTGGATACTATATACAGTCAGAAAGTGCAATAACTAGGCACAAAACTGACAAGAGTACCGAGACATTCGACGTCCTGACACCTAGCTTCAACACATATGCGTATGTGTTGAAGCTAGGTGTCAGGACGTCGAATGTCTCAGTACTCTTGTCAGTTTTGTGCCTAGTTATTGCACTTTCTGACTGTATATAGTATCCAGTTACAGTGATGGAGAGTTACTCTTAACTTGTATCCTTATGTCCTTTTCCTTTCTAAATAACATAATGACATAATATCTTGACTAGTTTGAGGGAAAGACACAAACGGGAAAAGTCTGAAGAAAAAATTGACTGTCACCACCAGGACTCGAACGAGGGACCCTCGCTTGTAGCTAGCGATGCTCTAACCACTGAGCTATGGTGTGGTCGTCATCCCAGCAGAGATTGTTCAAATAATTATTATTATGTCATTATGTTATTTATTTCATTTATTTCACCATTCCGTACGTATGTTGATGATGTAATTATTACGTCATTGTGTATGTTGATAATGTGATTATTACATCACTATGTGTATATGTGTATGTGTGTGTGTGTGTGTACACACATATACACACACATATACACACACACACACACACATATATACACATATACACACGTATATGTGTATATGTGTGTGTGTGTGTGTGTGTGTGTGTGTGTATATGTGTGTGTATATGTGTGTGTGTGTGTGTGTGTGTGTGTGTATAATTATGTGTATATGTGTGTGTGTGTGCGTGCACGTGTGTGTGTGTGTGTGTACGTGTGTGCGTGTGTGTGCTGCTTAGTCCCAGTTTGTTTTGAGTAACAAGACAGCGCGCACAGTAGCTTTCTTCTACACATTGTTGCTGCATCTCCTGACGGTCGTGGTGAGTGATGGTGTATGCTCTCATTTCTCTCTCTCTCTCTCTCTCTCTCTCTCTCTCTCTCCCTCCCTCCCTCCCTCCCTCCCTCCCTCCCTCCCTCCCTCCCTCCTCTCTCTCTCTCTCTCTCTCTCTCTCTCTCTCTCTCTCTCTCTCTCTCTCTCTCTCTCTCTCTCTCTCTCTCTCTCTCTCTCTCTCTCTCTCTCTCTCTCTCTCTCTCTCTCTCTCTCTCTCTCTGTCTCTCTCTCTCTCTCTCTCTCTCTCTCTCTCTCTCTCTCTCTCTCTCTCTCTCTCTCTCTCTCTCTCTCTCTCTCTCTCTCTCTCTCTCTCTCTCTCTCTCTCTCTCTCTCTCTCTCTCTCTCTCTCTCTCTCTCTCTCTCTCTCTCTCTCTCTGTGTTTGTTGTAACCCAGCACATTGTGTTCTTTGCTTGCTAAAACATTGTAGTGGTGGTGGTGATGTTGTGAGAGATGCGAAACCAAAGCTATCTGGTGGCAACAGTGTACTAAAAATACTGTGCATGTTGCTAAACATCGAACGCAATCCACGGTAATTGTGCCCTTGCGATAGTGCCGTTACAAAATACCGTTATTTGCAAAGGGTGGCTAATTTATTTATTTATTCCACCTTCCCGTGGCCAAGGGAATATAGGCCAATATGGAGGGGGGGGGGGGGGGGGGGGGGCGATAGCCAGCCATGCAATTCCAAAATCTGACAAATTACAAGAGTCAACAAGCTAGACAGGGCCAATATGTACGGTATGCATGTTTTGGAGAAGTTAGTGCTTACAGCCATACGAACTTTCTGCCATGAACTGACTTTCGGACCTGACTTGTGCGTAGTGGAGGAGTCATCTGTATGCCGATGTACTGTCGTGGACATGGAAATCCGGTCGATTGACCGGGGCCAGTGGCGTGCACAACGTTGCGTGCAATGCTAGTCACGTTGATCCTATGCAACCATTGCCAGTATTTAGTTCAGGCAGTATGTTTATCAAGCTGCACTTAACTTCAATAGACAGGGTCAAGAGGATGAAGGGCTATATATTTAGGGCAGGTACGTATTTACGGACTTTTACCGTACTTGCAGACTGTTTCTACCGTAGCGGACATGGAAATCCTGTCGATTGACCGGGGCCGGCGCCCTCAGCGCGTACAGAACGCTGCGTGCATTGCACATTAATTGTGTTGATCCGATGCGACCAGCGCGCTGCAGCGCATAAATGCATTTGTGCACCGCTTATCCACGGCTGCATGGCCAGCGCCCTGGGGCCGCTAGACGTGCGACCGGATTTCCATGTCCACGACAGTAGATCCTGTAGAGGAAGTTTTCACTAACTCGGAATAGTGAATAATATTTAACTCAGACTACTGACTAGTATTGTGTTCTTTGTGGTTATCTGTGATTGATTGTTTGATGAACAGGTGCTGTGGAAGTTTGCATACAGTCAAAACTGTGAAGTTGACGCTGCCGCCAACTGCTATAAAAGGTAATGTGGCTCTTTAACCCGTTGACGTCCATGGTTCGAAATTGAACCGTGGACATTTGTATGCATGTGGGTGCAGTCAAACTTTCGTTGTGTTGTCAGTGTGGCACGAAATGGACCGTGCTTGTCAATATTACTGTAAGACTAGTAATGTTAATGAACATTTAATTCTAACGAGTTAACGAATTTGAAAGAATCGTTAACATTAAATTTTGAAGTCGTTATGTGCAAAACGATATGTACATGTACAGTCATTTGTCGGTTTTGAGACAGAATTCGTTACTTGGTATGCTTCAGCAATATTGTCACTTATCTTTCAGCTTTCTTTCGATGTCGCCAATGCTCACGTAGCAGCTCGTTTCATCCCAATTTTGGTTAGTAAGTTAGTTTACTAGTACCTGAAAGGTCTAGCTAGATTTCGAGAGCGACGGGTGGGTGATTCTGATTGATACAGCGCCGCGTCAAAATAGATTATCTGGTCACACTGCGCAGACAAGAGCAGCGTGACGCACAAAAAAGTAATCGGCTACTCGGAATCAGTTCCATTTTGCAAAACGGCCGACATCGCTCACCTCAGGGATCACTCGCCAAGCTTAGATCGCACTTCCCTCACCTCCAGCTCAACGCTCGGAGTATCCAACGCATCGTGGAGATTTGCAAGCACTGTACACGTCGCCGTCGTTCAAAATAAACCTTGCAAAGAACGGAGACTGATTTGAACCACACAGGCAGTCGTGCTGCCCATGCGAAGTCCTATAGAGAAGGCAATCGTCACGATCGACTTCCCTTTAGAAAATAGCCAGGCAGCAGAGAGATGAGCTTGCGAAAGCGAGAGTGTCGGTCCCGAGCATAAAATATTTGTCACTAGCGCCGAGAGCAGCGACGAGGAGGACCAAAAAAAGTATGAACCCTTCCTTGGACAATAAATTCCTCATGGCCAGTTGTCATTCTATATTACCTTGCATCATACCAAGTTTTATCATCTCAAGTGCACTTTTTGATGTCCAAAGTCAAAGTTCAAATCGTCGAAAGATAAGCGACAATATTGCTGACGCGGATCAAGTTGAAGTTCACCTCGCTAACCCACAAAAATCCGGACATCATTAACTTTATTTCACGTTAAAATATATGGTCTTACAGTATTCTCTTTCAAATTTCTTTTTTTGTTTTTTTTTGTTTGTTTGTGTGTTTGTTTGTGTGTTTGTTTGTGTGTTTGTGTGTTTTTGTGTTTGTGTGTTGATGTGTTTGTGTGTTGATGTGTTTGTGTGTTTATGTGTTTGTGTGTTTGTGTGTTTATGTGTTTGTGTGTTTATGTGTTTGTGTAGTTTTGCAGAGCATATGCAAGAACACCATCACCAGCATAATGCCAATGATCCGAAAGGTTACGCTCAAGCAGACAACGTGCTACAGCATGTCGCTATGATGTCCACAACGACGTAGTTGTCACACACATCAGATTAGTCATCTCGTATTCCACTGGCCATCACTCAGCTTAGCAGCCGTCTTGTTGGTCATCTTGTTGATCATCTTCTATCATCTTGTACATACTCTCTCCTTCCGTTTTTACCCGTTGATCCTGCTTTTCATTGCCGCTACCAGAGCTGTTTCTTCTGCACGATTTGCACAGCAGTATTTTTATAACAACTATTGCACCCCCCGCCCCCATATGATGTAATTATGACGTAATCATGATGTAATTATACTGCATAATCCGCATGTGTATGTGAAGATGTGTGTACATAATTGTATTAGATACACAAACCGCACCACCAGTGTTGTGGTGTGCCTGTACCCCTCGTTTCACACTGTTGTTGTTGTTGTAGATATGTGCCCCGGTACACGCGTACTGATATTCATTTCTTATTCTTCCTTTCATGTTACGGGACGGAACGGAAGTGCTTGCGCTTTTTGTGAGCTTCCCCTTTGCCTTCTCTCCATCCTCACATTGTTTATAATAATTGTGTTCAACCTAGCAAACCTATGGGTATGCTGTACTAGTATGTTCTGGCGGATTGGTGTGTTGGTGGGTCATGGGTCATGGGTCATGGGTCAGTCAGTTTTGACACTGACAGTGTGTTGGTGGGTTGGTCCTGGAAGAGTGGCGTTGTTCCTATGGATGCGGAAACTCGGCATCTATAGCCGAGGCTCACGCGAACCGTGATTATTTTGGTGGGTTGGTGATCATGGGTTTGTCAGTTGGAACAGTGTGTTGGTGGGTTGATTGGTCACGGGTCAGTCAGTTTGAACAGTGTGTTGGTGGGTTGATCCTGGAAGGGTGGCGGCGTTCCTACGGATGCGGAAACTCGGCCTCTAGCCGAGGCTCACGCGAACCGTGATTATTTTGGTGGGTTGGTGATCATGGGTTTGTAAGTTGGAACAGTGTGTTGGTGGGTTGACTGGTCACGGGTCTGTCAGTTGGAACAGCCGGTTTTTCCAGGTGTGCAGTTCGTTGGTTTCTCGCTCGAAGAAGAAGTCATGTAGTGGATCGGTCCATTTGTTGGTTGTTTGGTCGGTTAGTCGGGTTGGTTGGGAGATCGGTGATTGGTCTGTTGATAATATTGTCGGTTTGCGAGTGCGGGTTGGTGAATGTCTCAGTTGCTCGGTCAGGGAGCGGGGGGAGTGATCCGATCTTCAGTAGAGTTCTCAGTCATTCGGTCAGGGGGGTGTGATCCGATCTTCAGTAGGGTTCTCAGTCATTCGGTCAGGGGGTTGTGATCCGATCTTCAGTAGGGTTTTTTTTGATCCCACCTTCCAACCCAGCAATATTTAGATTTTGATAAAAACGATTCAAAGCCTCTCAATTATTTTGTAATACTTGAAGTATAGATATAAGAATAATAATAATAGTTATACAGGTACGTGTACTTTCACACAAAACAAGCTCGGTGCAGTACCAATCACGGCAGGGGAACCCGACCCTCCACCATCGCCAACTCACCAAGCATGTGAACTGGACGGTGACGGGCCGACCGAGCGCCCTTGACACACAACACAGCGGAACGTAGCAGCGCGAAAGACACCCGACAACGATAGTAACCCATCAACGACGAATAACTACCTCCCGAAGATTGAGATATAAGCAGGCAAAGGCGCCTGAGGAAGGCCGTGGATGCCGGCACAGCTGCCCCATTTACGGAAAACACCAAAGGTGCAAAGGCACCACGCTCAACATTCACTACTCTCTCCTGATATTGAAGTCTCTTAGCGCCCTCATGTTGCCGGAAGAGCATCTTCAGTAGGGTTCTCAGTCATTCGGTCAATTCAGGGGGGATTAGGTCTGTTCTACAATCAGTCTCTCTGTCGGTCGGTCTACTGGGTGTGGGTGATTTGCTCCATTTTTCAGTCACTCGATATCGGTCAATCGGGGAGGGGGGAAGAGATTCGGTCCACGCTTCAGTCGGATGGTAGGTTGATCTATTAGGGGAGCGGGGTCCATTTTTCAGTCAGTCTGGTCGTCAATATTATTGGCGGAGGGAAGGACTTGGTCCATGTCACTCGGTTGGTCTAGGGGAGCGGAGGGTTTGTTCCATTCAGTCTGTCTCTCAGTCTGATGGTCAATTACAGTCGGTTGGTCCTGGTCTGTCTGGTCTATCAGTGAATAGGCTGGTAGGTCACGTGGTGGTTACACTGGTCTAGCTGTCACACACCTGGTCCCTGGTCTGGCTGCTGATTGGTCAGTTGATCAATTATTACTGGTTGATAGGTTGGTCTGTGTGTTGGTCACGTGGTAGCAGTGTCTGCCCCAGAGCTGGGTCACACCGGGACTGCACAAATGCATGTGTTCACAAATAGGTCAGCTAATACCATGTTGCTCTCGTCCTCTTCAACTTGTTAAGTCACTTAACTTCTGTACACATTTGTATGTTCCCCCATGGGTGGGTGTAAACACAAGGAAGCATATCAGTGTACATGTCTGGAAGCATACATGTGAGTAAGCACATAACACACATACAACTGTACACAAGGATATGTGTGGGCACATGCAAGTACACACGTTTTCAAACAACCAGGGCATACACACATACAAACACACACACACAAACACACACACAAACACACACATACATCCATATGCATACACACATACACACATAGATACACACATACACAAACACAAACATACATGTACATACACATGCATACACACGTACATAAGCACACAAGCACACACACGCACACGCACACACACACACGCACGCACACACACACATGCATGCACACGTGCACGTACGCACACATGCACATAGACACACCCTCACTCATACACACACGCATATACAATGCACATTTATGAACCCATACAATTATAATAATTTGCATGAAACAGTTCTGTCCGCAGATTGAGAAATAATTTGCATGTGTATAATATTATACACACGTACTTGAAGAATACTTGTCATATAATTTTAATATCAGAGTCAGATCCCACCAGTCGCAGAGGGGAAAGTATTCAATCGCAAAAAAATCAAACATTAGAACACTATTCTAGATGCAAAGTTTTGCCAAGAAACCTGCGACCAGTAAAGACATTGCACTATGCACAAGTAAGAACTATGTGAGTGGCAAGGTGATGATGCTATGAATATTAGTTCTCAATGATCATTTTCATCTGTGTTTTCTATTCTCTCATTTCTACTCACTCCATACAACAAACATTTTAACAAAATTCACTAAACAATCTCCAAACATACAAACAGACATACAATGTATATGTACATGTACATTCAAAGAAATGATCACACATATCAACTAAAACCACATCAACAAAAACCAACAATTCAATGACAATTATTCTATCAGCGACAGTCCAGAATTATCGACAAAAATCACGGAGCGAAAACATCTAGTTACAGGGTCCAAAGTCTAAAGGTCAAAGGTCAACACAGTGATCCCTCAAACTGACTGCAAATGAAGAAAGAAATGTCCCGTCGAAACACAAACGTACAGACACACATGCATGCACACACACGCACATATGCACACACCCACACACGCGCACATGGTCAAGTAAATACATACACACACTTACAAGCACGCACACACAACAATACTACCACGCATGCACACATACACACGTGTACTACTAATCATATACACAGACGGACTGTATGCCAGGAAGAAGTGATAGACGAAAACGAAGCTTTCTGCATAAGGACAGAAATCCGTCCATGTCAATCCTCTCACCTCCTCATTCCTCACTCTCACTATCACCTTCATCGCCGTCCTCGTCTTCTTCTTCGTCATTCTCCACTTCGTCGTAATAGCGAAGTCGCACATACTGCACTTCCAGATCATCTCTGGCCATGGCACTTAGAGCCTCACGCAGCCGTGGAGACACTAGAGCTCTTTCAGGCATCCACAGCTCCTTCAGAGATGAGCAGCTCTCGACAGCGGTGGCGAACAGCTTTGCTTCGTCGTCATCATCTCGGAAATCATTCCTCGCCACTTCGAGCACGGAGAGCTGGGGCAGACTGGGCAGCAGGGACGCAAGCACTGGCAGAGCTCCTGACGAGAGGCAGTCGTCGTCCAGGTACAGCCTCTCTAGGCGTCGGCACTGACTCAGCTCACCACGAACGGTTGACAGGAAATCTCCAGTTAGCTCATTGCGATGGAGTGAGAGGTGCTCCAAACTCTCGTGTTGCTGTTGAATGATTCTACTGACGATCGTAGCCGAGTTCTGCTTCATCCCAACCTTGTGCAGCCCCAGCGTTCTCAGCCTCAGTGCTCCTAACAATGGTGCTAGCTGGGTTAGACCTTCCATATCCAGTACGCATTCATAGAGAACGACGTACTGGAGATCTGGGCAGCTGCTGCAGACTGTGGTGATGACGTCAAGGTTGACTGCTGGATCGGTGCACTTTTGACCTCCAAAGTTCACTCCCAGCAGTCCTGTACAGCGGTGTGTGTTGCTGTGGACGATGGCCATAGCATTGCTGCTGAACAGGTTCACGGATGTGTAGAGTGCTTGCAGTGTTGACGTGTTGGATGCGATACACGCTGCGATATGGGCCGTGTGACGATCTGTTAGGTTGTTTTGTGGCAGGTTGATGAGCGTAAGATTGCGTAGTAGAGCCATGCCATCAGCCATGCATGCGTACCCGGTATCACCTATACCACAGTTCTGCAGGTTGATGCGGGTGATGAACTGGTGATGGTGAATCATGACTGCGTAGATGGCCTGGCAGTCGGAGGGTGTCAAAGGAACCTTGGCGAAATCTACTCCGTACTGCTTGATGATGGCTTGCATGCTGGTGATGTCTTCGATGCTGCTTTGCTTGGCGTTCACGTGCTCCGCGAAGACCCGGAAGGCGTAGAGGATTCGTTGTCTTCGTTCCCCTTCGTTGGCGTTCTTCAGAGCTGCGAATGGCTGAGCTGCTTCGTCGGATGGAGGAACTGGCGGTAACTTGGACGTGGGAGTGACGGTGAAGCATTGAATGGCCGATCCTTGTGCCTCGTTGGCCAGGCAGTCGTGCAGAATTTGTGTACTGGCACTCGGGACGCGATCCGTCCAAATGGCTAGCAATGAACGAACGAAATGCTGGCAGGTGATTTTGGTGACGGCTGGGTCAATCCTGCGGCGGACCATTTCCGAAGCTGACACCAGGTCGATTCTGCCAGCCAGTAATTCATCTGCAAGATGTTCTGCTTCGTCAAGGGAGAGAAAGGAAGAAACGTGGTCGGCCCATTCCATGATATGGTCGTGTGTTGAGAAGAGAAAACACGTGACGTTGTGCCCCTCTGCTCCTGTGGAATGCTGGTCGATATCCCGTGGCTGAGTAGATGATGTGGACTGCGCATTGAGAATGGCTTCAATCAACACATTGACGGAGTTACTGTCCAGCTCAGTGGCCAGTAAGCGCCAAAACATGTTGAGGCTGCCTGTGAATGCTCCAAGGCGCTGCACAAGCCATGCGACGTCAGCTGCATTCGGACTGCGGCTAGCGAAGTAGCGAGATGCTAGAGCTTCCTGAAGTGCCAGGTGGCTAAAACGCCATTGACGATGGGCCTGTGAAAGTGGCTTATCACAGGCAATGAGAAGACCAAGTGAACGAGCTGCTGATGATAGTGAAAACATGCTGAAATCAGACTCAGTGAAGACGACCTTCCGCCGGATGAGCATGTGGAAAGCGAACTTGGCGAGATCAAGGAGACTTTCCTGGATTCCATCAGGAACATCGCTCAACTTCTCGTGTGGTTCGGTCTTCTTCAGGCCTTTCTCCGTCTTTGGTTGGATGACGTTGAGTATCATGGAGTTGAAGATCTTGCCTAGTGTATCGGGTATATCTCGCTGGTTGGAATGGAGCTTGCATATGCTGGTAGCGTACAGTGGAGTGCGCATGATTGCAGCCAGTTGAGGACTTCTCTTCAGCTTGTCCAGGAGACTGCACGCTTTCTCAGCTGGGAGCACTTTGTGAACATACTTCTCTAACTCCTGCTGCTCGAAACCCAAGAGCTCGACGCGTCGGTGGAATACAACCTCTGGGTTGTGGATGAGATTCATAGCCTCCGTGGAATGGCGTGACGTTATGACGAGGCGAACTCCCGGCAAGCGTTTTCCGGCGATGACATCCTGGACGTACGGGCTGCACTCGTCTAGTTTCGTTTCGTCCAAACCATCAAGTATGATGCAGACTCTCTCTGGATGGGCTTTCACGTATGCGCAGATCTCAGATTGATCAGTATCCGAAATGATGTCGTGGCTCCTCAAAGCCAGAAGCTCAGCAGCACACGTAGCTTGGCGCACGGAAGGCAAGCGGAGTTCAAGGGCGAACACCAGAGCCATCTCTTGCCAAATGCGACCCAGTGCCCAGTCGTAAGGACCTTTCTTGGTGAACAGCAACGTCTTCCCCCCACCAGCGCAAGAGAGGGCAATGGTGCGGAACGTTTCCCTCCCCGGGGCTAGTCTCATAGACTTCTTTGCTTTGAGGATGTTGGCCAGCTTTATTTTGCGCAGCTTCTTTGCAGCTGAAGCAAGGGAGTGTGTGAGCTGCTCAATACCAGCACTGCTGCCTAGTTTGTCAGCATTCAGCTGCTGCACTCTTGCACTGAGCTCTTCAAGTGAGACAACATGCAAGTTTGCGTAGATCTCATCCATGTTCAAACTTCTCACCTCGTCTGTGCTGCTATCCTCGACCAGAGTACGGACATTGGTGTAGATAGCACATAGCGACTCACGCAGCTCTCTGACAGCCTTTGGCAGCTCATCCACCCAACATGTTGGCTGTTCTGGTGTCTGAGGTGTGCCCTGGTTTGGTGATGGGCAAGATCTCTTCATGGTAGCCCACAGCTGCTTGAGCAGCGGCAGCTGCAGTTGACGGTGACTTACTCTAAACTAGGCAGTAGCAGTGATAGATGTGAGTGTAACAGGTGGCCAGATAGGAAATGCTAGAACTAGCAAGCACACACACACGTCTAATCTATAGCTATGGCTGGTGTGCAAATTGTGTTATACTGATTCTTTCAGTATTCTGCTAGGTGTGATACTGTAGACTGTCAGTTGATAATTTCATTCAAACTCTGACAAACACACAGCAGTCTTGTTCTTGCTCTTGCTACTACAACACCACTACCCGTGACTGTACTACTAGTACTACAGCTGCTGGCAATGCTACCAGTAGCAACTATTCTACTGTATGAGTGTGTTCGAGTAGGTTCAACGGTTTCTCCCTTGCTACTGTAACTGTGCTGTTCTATACTGCAACACTCTACAGCACTGAGTGCGGTAATGCAGTGTGTGTGTGTGTGTGTGTGTGTGTGTGTGTGTGTGTGTGTGTGTGTGTGTGTGTGTGTGTGTGTGTGTGTGTGTGTGTGTGTGTGTGTGTACATGTGTCCCATCTTCATAGCTAATGTTGCGGACCGTTGACAGTCTCTGGCGTCCCAATGGCGCCTCTCTTGTCATTTTCAGAATGCACCTGTCATGATTGACCAGCAGACATTAGACAGCCAACTCAAACTCAGACTACACCTTACACACTAGTTCACGTATAAACTGTATCATGAACAGCAGTAGCACAACCAGCCACAGTGCTGCTAACATCAGTACCTGTAGCAGCAGTGTCGTCAAATGCATTGCACTGCCAGGCACAGTACAGTAATCAGTAGTACAAGTAGTAGTAGTAGTAGTAGTGGTAGTAGTAGTAGTGGTAGTAGTAATAGTGGTAGTAGTAGTAGTGGTAGTAGTAGTAGTGGTAGTAGTAGTAGTGGTAGTAGTAGTAGTAGTAGTAGTAGTAGTAGTAGTAGTAGTAGTAGTAGTAGTAGTGGTAGTAGTAGTAGTAGTAGTAGTAGTAGTAGTAGTAGTAGTAGTAGTAGTAGTAGTAGTAGTAGTGGTAGTAGTAGTAGTGGTAGTAGTAATAGTGGTAGTAGTACTAGTAGTAGTAGTAGTAGTAGTAGTAGTAGTAGTAGTAGTAGTAGTAGTAGTAGTAGTAGTGGTAGTAGTAGTAGTAGTAGTAGTAGTAATAGTGGTAGTAGTAGTAGTAGTAGTAGTAGTAGTAGTAGTAGTAGTAGTAGTAGTAGTAGTAGTAGTAGTAGTAGTAGTGGTAGTAGTAGTAGTAGTAGTAGTAGTAGTGGTAGTAGTAGCAACTAACTTTCCTACACTATGTCCATGAACAGTGTGTGCGTGGTTGCTTGAAAGAATGATATTGACTGACAGTCACGTGAATCGCAGTCTGTTGCCAAGTGTGCTGCATGCATGCCAGTCCTGCAACTACTGTCACGTGACACGCTTGCATTAATTTTATCTATTTTCTAAACTTGCAAGAGAACTGGAACACCACCCTCCTGTTAATGACTGACATGAGCTGGAGAACAGGAGTATTGTACAGTAATCAGCCTCCTGTCCGTGAGTTTGCATGACAGGAGCAACAGACTCCATGCTCCAGTCCATTAGCAAGAGAATAGGACGAACAGACTCCCATCTGTGAGCTTATGTGTCATTGACTAGCAGGTGATCTGCACTGAGCTACATCAGTAGACATGCAGGGAGGGGTGTGAGCCCGCCTCTCAGTACCGGGAGTACAGCTCACACCGGGACTGACTAGCACGTGATCTGCACTGAGCAACATCAGTAGACAGTCATACTGCCCACGCACCACACCTCCCAACGACTACGTAACTTTCTTCAAAACCTGAATACGTCCTGTCTTTTTTTCATTC